ACACCTCACACCACAGTCTGTGTGTGGAGATTCCCACTATATTGATCTGAATACCTCTTCCCAGAAGATCAACTTTCCGGGGCAACCCCCTCACCGAGACAAACTAAAAACCAAAACTGCAGCGAGGACATGAGGCAATTGCAAATTGACATGGACCATTTGCCGATCTTGGGATCTTCAAGTTTTCCCGGGGGTGAAAGTATGTGTATATGCACCCATGTCACATAAATAAAATTTGTATATGCGATTAAATTTTTGGAAATTCGAATCGTAATGCATCTCCAAGGTGAAAGTTGAGAGGAGGAAGAGTCGCTGTCAGTCACCGAAAAAGGACTCGCAGACAGTCCGTCGATCGCTGAACCCTCCTTCCTCCTTGCTCCTTGCGCCTTGTGAACATTTTCCAGGAGCTGGGGTAGGATGATAGACAAAATCTTGTCATAACTTTGATGTTGTTAGTAAAACAATGCAATTGGCTGGCAAGACTTGCTTTCCTGCTTTTTCCCTGCCGTCCTTGCCTGCCTGGGCTTCCTTGGCCCTTCCCTTGTGGTCCCAAGGACCTATCATCCCGTCTGGGAATGGAAATGGAAATGGTGCGAAATGGGTGCAGCAGCTGCCGCTTTTTTTTTGCCTTCTGATTACGCAACCATCGATGGCATCTAATGTACTGTGAGAGACAGTGAAAAATCACTGGACCAGGATCTCTTATCCCCGCTAAGATGATGGTGATGATGATGACGATTCCTTGTCATGTTGTCATGGGGAATTTGTCAAAAGTCCAAGGATTTCCAAGAACCACTGCGCATTAGGCAAACGCCAAGATGATCTAGAGTGGACCCAACCAACCTTGCCAAAAAACAAGAACCCTCCCTTCCTCCCTCATCATATGAATGTATATATCCCAGATCTGGTCAGGCCGAAAGGGTTGGGTTTCGGGTTTTTGTAACGCGATAAGATCGACGCTCAATCCCGGGGCAATGAATGTTATCCCTAAGAACGTTAATCAATTAATTACACGCTGTGAGAAGAAAGGATTCGCCAGGGGTTGCCGCTGCTATCCTTTTCTTGATTAATTTCCGACATTTCCCAAGGCTATCTATAGAAATTGGCCCGGGAAATGGACTACCACTGGGGAAATTAGCTCTTGACCAGTGGTCAGTTCGTGGGCCAGTCGCGTGGCTGATATTAATATACAAATAAAATATTGACCATCATCATCATGATCATCAAAGGGGTGAGCAATATATCATATAAGGGGGTTTGTTGTTTTAGCAAGGGATTCCAGAGATCAAGGAATTCAAAATCATTAGGGAAATGAATTTTAAAATGAGAAGAGAGTTGACTATCTGGCATAGCTATACAAAAATTATTGTTATAATCAATTGATATGTATGTAAATATTTTCCTCTTTAAATCCAAGTCTAAATTCCCTTGAAATCCACCCATAAATATCCATAATTCCCATAAATTCCCTTAAAAGGCCCATGATTTTATCATTCGACCGATAACGATATATATGTACTTATATGTAGATTGCATCATTCTCTCCCCTTTTCATCTCCCTCAAGGCTAATCATAATTTATACAAATCTCTTATCTCGCCGCTGGGCGACAAGCTATATTTGGAAACCCCTATATGTACCATATATATCTGGGACACACTCACAAAGATTTCAAGGATTTGCGCGCCAAAAAACTAAAGACCACTTGAGAAGTCAGACCGATCGTAAAAAACCAAAAGAAGGACTGAGATGAGATCCCACAAATGTGCCTGCTGTGTGGGAACCAAATTGCTCGGATTGCAGTGGCATAGGGAAAACAATATATATTATTTTTGCACTGTCCACTCTGTAGGGACAAAAAGGACACTTTGACGGACGGCAAGGAGATCAGGAACTGTTTCTATTACAATGAATAGAAGCACTTGTTTTAGTTGTGTGCCTTGTTGCCTACACATTGTGACCCAAATTGCTTTTTGGCGAACAAACAAAACAGTGCAGAAAACCTAGACATGTGCCGAGAAGAGAGTCCTGTGCCTGGATGTGTCCTGGCCTAGATGAAATGAGCAACCACTTGACCGTAGGGACAATGGAACGGCCGCCGCTACTATTCAAATTATAGAGAAAATTGCCAGTAAAACACAAACTAATTGTGTTTGCCAATATGGTAGTTGCAGGGGGTGCCATGGGAAAAATCTGGATCACATTGGAGTTACCATGGGAAACTCAAGTGGCCCTCAGCGTGTGCTCTTTGATGGGGTCTCGGGCTCAATACCTCGACTGGCTGCAATCTGGCACACAGATGATGATGATGTTGATCCTACACCGAACCTATTCGGAATTCAAATCTAATCTCTGTATTGCTTGGCATCACCCTGAGCACCGAATTGGCCTGGAAACCCCGATATGGGGGCGACAGGCATATCAAAATCGAATTGAATTGCGCGAAACTCATAAAAATATTTAAATAAACATAAATGTGGGGATTTTTCAGAGTAGATCGAAGAGGAGAATACTCTATTTATAATTTTTTTCCAATAGTGAATCGAATTGTAAGAGTCTACTTTGAAAATAATAATACCACTTTTATAAAGAATACACAATTTTAGTTGTATTAGTAGACCTTGTAAAGCATATTTCGTATCTATATACCTAGGTACTTCTCTTGGTATGTCTATGAGGACCCTGCAAAATGAGTAAGACCCATTTCAACATTATAATGAATTGTTTAAAAATATATTAGTACTTAAAAATCGAATAATAATAGCTTATATTTCATTATGTCCTTATAATAAGTATATATAGACCTTGTAAAGCATATTTCGTATCTATTTATCTAGGTACTTCTCTTGGTATGTGTATAAGGACCCTAAAAATAGAGTAAGACTCATTTCAACATTAGACTGAATTGTTTAAAAAATATGTTATTACTTTAAAATCGATTAATAATATTTTATATTTCATTATGTCCTTATATCAAGTATATATAGACCTTGTAAAGCATATTTCGTATCTATTTATCTAGGTACTTCTCTTGGTATGTGTATAAGGACCCTAAAAATAGAGTAAGACTCATTTCAACATTAGACTGAATTGTTTAAAAAATATGTTATTACTTTAAAATCGATTAATAATATTTTATATTTCATTATGTCCTTATATCAAGTATACCCCTCTCTAAAAGGGCATTAGACTCCACATGCCATATCTAAGCGTGTCAAGAACATTGTTTGCCTATTAGAGAGAGGACCGACATAATGTTGCTCTACATAGGGAACTCGGAACACCCCGCTGGAAGCCCCCAAGACAACAAAACCAACTTTTGTTGTTCCGCTCAGCCGTTAAAAAATATGCTACAAGTTGAGATAGAGAGAGAGAGGAACAATGGGTAGTCACTGAGGGAATATAACGTTGATTAGTACTTCCTGAGGCTGCTGTATAGTCCAGATACCAGCGCCATATCATTCTTTCACAATGCCATAAAATAAGAAATAAAAAGTAACATTTGCATAGAGCTCATTCAAACAAACAAACAAACAAAGAAACAAACAAATGAGCTGCAGCAGAGTTGGATACTTGGGGTGCAGAAAGAGCGAGAGGAGCTTGAACCCAGCTTATCGGGAAGAATTTCCTCTGCAGCAGAGGTCTTTTCCTCCTCCAAATACTCCCATATCCCCAGAGAGTACAAGAAAAGAAGATTGGGTCCCAGGTATCAGTTAATTCTTGACTAGAATTTACAAAGTTTAGGAACAAAACAGGATTTTAAGCAAATCATTATAATTATAGTAAGGAAATTTATAAGATACTATCCCTAAAAAATTCTTATAGATTCGTAAAAAGATTAAAGATAGTTTGTAGGGTTTCTTTGCATTTTCCAGAATACGATCTTTTCAAGGATAAATGTACTTCGCTGGAAGGTAACTTCCTGTATCCCCTCTCCAGTTCCCCCCATCCAACTTTGACAATTTATTTCCCCCCCCCCTTTTCCACACAGCTTTCCCGCACAATTTAAACTCTGAACCCGGTAATAATTGATTCTGTCCCAAAAAGAGAGAGCTTCATTTGCGGCGGTCATTGGATATATAGTATATATGAGTGTGCGTGCTCTAACATCGAAATGAATTGCTTATTTTGACATTTATTAAAGCTTTAAATAAAATTTATGCAGAGAATCAATTAGTGGAGGCAAGAGACCACCACAAAGGGGCGAAATGAAGGGGGGAGGGAGTGGGGGGCGGGGGCCAAAGTAACGAAGATACAATATTTCTCACAATCGGTTTTGTAGGAAACCAAGGCGAGGAGAGAAGGCAAAAAGACAACAGTCGACGGCGGCAGAGAGTGCAAGAAATCACAGCGAAGAAGGCAGCGAAAGGTAAACAGAAGACAGATCGAATACGGACCTCGCCCCCTCTCTGTCTGGCCCAAACGAGTCCTGCACACACACACACACACACACACATACAGACGGACCAGATTTTTGGCGCAAAAATCTACGGCTATTCCCGCTTTGCACTCTCTTTCGTGCTCCTGCCTCGTGTTAAGGAATTTTCGTTCCTTGCTTTATTTGCTCTCGCCCATGTCCCCTCTCTACGCACACAGACGCAGGCGCTCAGCAGGACTCATACGGTTCCTTGGCTGTTCATATCCTTAGGTCAGCTGATCGACCATATGTACTGCTGCGCTGGACCGAGAGAGGGGCTCGGGAACCGCTATCCTTGTCTAACTGTTATTTGTTGTTTTTGGTTTAGGTATTTGTTCTAATCAGTATCTTTTTGGTGTCCCGCTCTGCTCTGCTCTTCACACCTTATGTACTTTGTGATTTCCCCTTATTCTTTATATGTTTCTTCTTTGCTTCTGCTTTGGTGGGGAAGGGGAAAGCAGTATGGGTAATATTGATAATAATTTAATAATAATTTAATCTGGGTTTTAGTGAAAACAGGGGAGGCAGTAGTCAATAATTATTTAATAATTCCCTTTAAGAAAGTTAAATAAAGAATCACTCACCCGACTTTTAATTGTATAGATTTAATAAGTTTTCTGTTGATTTGCTTTTCGGGATAAACCTAAAATAATAACATTCCTCAGTTATAGATCGTATTAAAACGAATATATGGTGATTTTTTTTGCGTTAGTTTAAGCTCAAAACGGCCAATTACTCACCTAGAGACCACCAATTGCTGATCCTCTTTGCGCCTTTTTTTAATTGCATTGCCTTGTCTGCCACACACACACACACAACAGCGAAGCGAGGACCGCCCAGCCTTAACCTTTTTTTTGTCCACCCCTTTATCCCTTTAGCCGTGATTTGCGAAATTCGCGCGCGCAAAAGTATCTCAAACGCTTGCACACATACCAAAAGCTCACTTCTTGGAATTTCGATTTACAATTTAGCTCTTCACTTTTTTGTTGTTTTTTTTTGCCCATTCACATTGTTGCTGCAATTTCTCTCTCTGCAGTCTATTCTCATTCTCAGTTTTTTTTTTTTTGCCCTCCGCAATCAGAGCTACACACATGTGCTTTTTCCACAATACACACTCGCGGACAGTGTGTGTGATGTGTGTGTGTAAGGCTTTTTGCATACGTTTTTCACTCTCCTTTGCCTTTGCCATTTTTTTCCGTCCTCTCGGAAATTCTGGAGACTGCGATAAATAGCACTGTGGTATCTGAAATAATTGAAGAACTATGAATAAAGAAATAAAATATCAAAAAACAAAAATCTAATCAATTAAAATCTTTAAAATGTCATCACGCAAATCACAAGTTGGAATGGAATACGTCGGTCATTCTGGCAGGAAACATCATAACTTGGCCCACTGTTCGCAGCACCGATCACTATGAATGGGGGTTTTTGGGCTTGAGCTTTTTCTTTCTTTCCTTTTTCCTTTACCCCTATGCGCTTTTTTAACTTGTTCAAAACCACTTTATGATTTCTGCGTCCCTTTTCCTGTTGTTCTTGGCTGGCCCTGCCCGTTGTTTTCCATAAAGAAGATGATCCTCTCATCGGTTCTTCCTGCGGCACAAAAAAAAAATCGACAACAACAAAAGCTCCTCACCAAAAGGAATTCAGTGGAATGAAACCGTAGCTCATTTGGTTGCCTTTGCCGGCAATTACCCGCGAATATCATTCACATTCTGGCAAAGTTTTGAGCGGGAAAGCGAATGATGCTGGGCGTGTGTGCTCGTCATCTGTGTGTGCTTTGTGCACACAGCCTTTACAAAACACACACTCGGCCGCGCCATCGCATGGGTGTTCGTTCAGAGCATCAGCCGCTGCCCGACCCCGCTTATCCTGCAAAGTGACTCCCGCAGGGCTCCTCCGCGCATATGTAACTCGATTTCTGCTTTAACTTTGCCGCGAATTGCACTAAAAAAAACACACAAACACTATCATACAGGCGGTCTTCTGTAAGGTGAATCACGCAAGTTGGAATTTCTAAAAAATCACTGACATTCTTCTGTATAATCACAATTGCCGTGTATGTTAGTGTCCACTGTAAATGGGTTCTGCGGATCTGGACGAAGCTTTGCTCATTTAACGACATTGGCGTCTACGTCTGCAAAACACAAAGGAGACACGCCTCCCTCTCCCGCCCTTTCATCCCCCTTCCCGAGTTTTTGCTCCACAGCCGCTGATCATATGACCACTACCTGCTGATATTCCACGAGGGGGACTGGCGGGGGGGGCTATAGGAATGCGTGGATCTCACATTATTACCTGCAAACGACACAATCGATGCCGCCTTGAATTTCTGCTTAAAGATTCGCTCGCGGTCTCATTCCATCCCGTTTCCTTTTGCCTCGCGCCTTCTTGTTTCTCCGTCTGCCTGTGTGCTTGCTGGCTCCAACTATTGCGGTGCATTGTAAATCACATACATAAATATATTTGTATGTTTGTGCCGCTGCTTCGGCTTCACTTTTGGCGCTCGGCTCCACTTCGGCTCTGGTGGGGAGGCTCGCGTTGGGGTATATAAGCTCGCGCGCCAAAATCAGTGGGCTACATGGAGCTGGCGACTCAATGATTCGATTCTGTCTGGTCTTCTTCTCGGGATATTCGTTTCGCCTGTAGGGGAAATGTAGGGGAAGCATATTCTACCTGTTGCGGTGAACTCCACGGGGCCAGATTCCTTATTTAAAACCGATTTTCCAATTTTCTTCGACGTTGTACATATAGTGTTTCCTTTATGCACATGGTTTCTCTATGTTTTGCCGTTCTAGTTCTCCATCTCCCTCAGAATTTCCTGGTAATCAGAGGAACTGAAGAAAAAGGCGCCCGCCGGCAACAAGAAAACACTAAAAACTCTCCATTCCCATTTCATTTCATTTCATTTCTCTCTTCCACTCCATTCCGCCTGTAAAGGCGAGCGCTGCCGTGCTCATGTTCTCTCACTCTCACTCTCTCACACACACACCGCTCTCGATTCCATTCCATGTCGTTCCATACGTCGGCCGCCTATAAAAGCGAGCTGCTCGTGTTCTCATTCATTCATTCTCCCAATTCTCTTGTTCTCGCAACTGTCAACAGCAGCTCCTTAGCTGGACTCTGCCTTTCGGTTCTCGTTCGGTGGTTAAAAATTGAACAGAAATTGAAAAATTATAAAACATGCTGAAACGGACACATTGAACCAGAAACAAACAAAAATGCAATATTAGCCAACAAATTACAAATTCTAAAAGGACTAACAAAAACGAAAAACCAACTTTAAATGCCGCAAAAGTGAAAAAGTGACGACGAAAAAATTGTGTTTTAGCAATTTTTCGATAAAGCAACTAAGAAAGAAAACTCGACAGAGAAATTCAATTTGAAATCGTTTGAAACTCCAAAAAACACACACAAAATCAACCAAAATGCTGTGGGAAACCATCCAGGAAGAAACCAACTGCAGCATGGATTGCAATATCAGGTAATTATCCCGCACCATGGATTAAAAAACTACTACTTTTTGCATCAGGAATACCAGTTGAAAAAAAAAGAAAAAATTTACAAACACAAGCGAGGAAATAAAAAGTGCAAGTTCAAGAACAACAACAGTAAAGTACAAATCGCTGAACAAAAGTAAGAGTTTTTTTGCACACTTACCTTTGCTTCTTTTTTTATTGGCGCTCAGCTGTTGTTGTTGCTTTTCATTCATTAAACCGGCTTCCGCGGGGCTCCAAAAAACAGCAGCCGCAACAACAACTCGTCCGTCAGTCAGTCATTTTTTTATATTTTCCTTTTTTGCTGGTTCTTTTTTAAACGAGAGTTCTTTGCGGTTCTTTGTGCCTTTTTTGTATTCACTGCGTTTGCGTGACGTTGTGACCCAAAAGTCGGCGCTGCAAAGGCAGGCAGATGCGACGGAAAGTGACAAGGAAAAGGGAATTCCGCTTAGAGGTACCGTACGTTTTGATGTGAAAAAGTAGTACCAGACGATTGGTGGAGAATTTGGAGAACAAATACAATTTAATTCCAGTAAATTAATGTAACAACTAGAGTTTTTGAGGAGCCAATTTTAGAAATTTAACAATTTCAAGTTGAATTTCGGCTTGTTGTGCTACAACAGCAACCCCTCGTGACTCGCAATGTTGTTGTTGTCTTTACACCACCACCAACGCCGCCGCCACCACCAAAAAATATCACCACTCTGCGCCTGTATTTTTAGCTGGGTTTAATGACCCGCTCGCGCTCCCGGGGTTTAGGGAAGCAGCCGCCGCCGCTCTCTTTGGAACCGCTGACTAATCCTCCCCTTCTTTGCTCCTCTCCTTGCAGCAACTCCAATAGCCACAAGCTGACCGGCTCCCGTCGTGCTCGTCGCTCGCTGGAACTGATGGCCATGGACCACCATCAGGAGGAGCTGTCGTTCTACGACGACGATGTGGCGCCGCAGGATCAGCAGCGTTCGGCAAGTCCCGAGCTGATGGGCCTGCTGTCGCCCGAGGGATCGCCCCAGCGCTTCCAGATTGTGCGCAAGCAGCAGATCCTGCCAGCTGCCGCTTCGGCCACCTCGCACACACCCGCCCGCAACAGCTTCAGAATCTACAACAGCCTGTCCTCCACTTGCTCCATGGAGTCGTCCATGGATGATGAGTACATGGAGATGTTTGAGCTGGAGTCTCAGAGTCAACAGAACGCCGTTCTTGGATTTCCCAGCGGCTTGAACTCTCTGATCAGCGGCCAGATCAAGGAGCAGCCTTCGACGACCGTTGTCCGGTCGCCGGCGGGTCTCTCCATGCGTCGTCCTTCGGTGCGGCGCTGCCTCAGCATGACTGAGAGCAACACCGCCACTCCACCCGCCCATCTACAGCCACCAAAGACGCCAGAGACTGCTGCTCGGGACTGCTTCAAGCGCCCTGATCCCCCGGCATCCGCCACCTGCTCGCCCATTCAGAGCAAGCGTCATCGCTGCGCCACCGAGAAGGAGAACTGCCCAGCGCCACCAGCACAGATCCTGCCCAGCAGCAATCCCCCGCCGCTGAGGAAGTGCATGTCGCTGAACGATGCCGAGATCATGTCCGCCTTGGCTCGCTCCGAGAACCGCAACGAACCCGAACTGATTGGTGACTTCAGCAAGACCTATGCCCTGCCCTTGATGGAGGGACGTCACCGGGATCTGAAGAGCATATCCAGCGCCACGGTGGCTCGCCTGCTGCAAGGTGAATTCGCCGATCAGGTGGCCAGCTACCGGATCATCGACTGCCGCTACCCGTACGAGTTCGAGGGCGGCCACATCGCTGGCGCCAAGAACCTGTACACCACCGAGCAAATCCTCGAGGAGTTCCTCTCCGTCCAACAGACTGAGCTGCAGCAGCAGCAGAACATTGAGTCGGGCCACAAGCGCAACATCATCATCTTCCACTGCGAATTCTCGTCGGAGCGTGGACCGAAAATGTCCCGATTCCTGCGCAACTTGGATCGTGAGCGGAATACCAATGCCTATCCGGCGCTCCACTACCCGGAGATCTATCTGCTGCACAATGGCTACAAGGAGTTCTTCGAGTCGCATGTGGATCTCTGCGAGCCCCATGCCTACCGCACCATGCTGGATCCCGCCTACAACGAGGCCTACCGTCACTTCCGCGCCAAGTCCAAGTCGTGGAATGGCGATGGCCTGGGCGGAGCCACGGGGCGTCTCAAGAAGTCGCGCTCCAGGCTGATGCTGTAAGGAGGAGGGAGTCCCTGGGGAATTGATGGGGTGTTATCGTATTGTATATAACTCTAGACGCTTAGTTGTATTTATTTTCCGCGAGCGATGCATTTTTTAAGTTGGTTTTTTGTTGATTTTCATTTGTTAATAATCGTTATCTTACACACACAAACACACACACACACTCATAATCTTGACAACATGACACACACAACGCACTCATACGACACTCGAGAGGAATTTCATTTAGTTTTTATTTGTTTTTAATGTATGGAAATTCGGCTTTAGTTCAATTTATTTCTTAGCACTTTTAGTTCAAATTTTAACGAAAAACAAAAGGAGCGTAAATGAAAAAAATGTGCATTATAATCTAAACGAAATCGAAATCATTTTAAATTTAAGATCTATAATATGCTACAGACTCCATGATCATTTCACTTAGATAATAAGCAGACACCGAAAATGGCTACGAAATATCGCACTACACCACACACAAACACAAATTCATACTTATTTTTAAGGAAATTACTTAATAAGAGTTGCAAGAGTTGAAAACTTCTAGCTAGGTACCAATTTTTACGCTTATTATTTGTTTATTTTTTATATAATCCGTAAACAAAAATTCGAAACTAAAACATAAACAAAAACAAAAAAAAAAACAAATCCTTTACTATGTAATGATTTATTATTATTTAAGCAAAGCTTATTTTTGCATCAAAAAGAAAGGCAATATTATTGAACAAAGAGACCATCAATTTTAAAATATAAATACCTAATACAGAACTGAAAACTCACTGGTTTTATTTTAATTAACCTTTTCAGCGGCAAAAAGCCATAAAAAAGCGGGAAATGTGGTTCCCTTGATTTTCTTCGAATTTCTCCCTCTTTGAATTTCGGCGCGCTTTATCGATACTTTCGATAAAAGCAGCGAAATAATATTTGCGTTGGTTTCCGCTAGAAGGCGTTGCTGTGTGATGGGAAAATAAATTATTTCGATATTTTTGTTGTTTAAAAACAATATTAAAGAATATATCATCATGACTGAGAAATATATATTTTCTTATCATTATTTTCATTACATAAACTTGAAGAAACTATATAAATTAACCCCGAAATGCGTTAAGAGAGTCAATTCCCCTTAACGATAATTATTTCCTACTTTGTTTTATTCACGCTAGAGGGCGCTACTGCTGTATATGGTGGAATTGTTGAGTTTATATTTGAAAATGTTTTGTCACTAATAAAATGTTTGTAGGTTTAGAGATTACAAGGCATTGAATAACTTAAATTGATAACTTTTTATGAAATAATAAATAAACAAGAAAGGAAGATAACTTCGTCACGCCTTGCCGATTGAAATTCGATCACTAGATATTAATACAATATAATTTATATATATTTATGTTAAAAAGCAATAATGTAATGCCTACTCTCATTGTATTCACCTTTACATTTTAAATTTACTTTTTGACATGCACCGTTTTTCATTTTCCTCTATTTTTAACGATCGTTTGTATGGCAGGTATATTATATATTAGTCAGATTTTCATAAAAATGTACACAAAATTAATATATAATATAATATAATATATAATATAATATATATAATATATTAAATTTGAAGAAAATCTGTTGAAAACACGAAAAGTTCTAATATATTTTCTTAAAATATTTCGATCGTTCTTATGACAACTATATATATGTATGTATGTAAATAGTCCACCGATTTGCCATGGTCCGACTTATATACTAGTAAAATTATACAAAAGAATAACTCCATAGTTTTATTCTGATAGCTTGCTCTTAAATTTGTTCCAAAGCACATCTCGCACATGGGTGCATATGATTCTCAAATAGTTCTAACATCCCCGGAACAAAGTGACTTCTGCCGGCCAAGTCTTAGAAATGTGTTGTTACAAAAGTTGCAAGTCATTGTTTATTAGTGTTCAAAGTTAGTAACTGATCAAACATAGTTACAGGTTATAGATACTTACTGATCATAGTTACTTACTGCTCATAGATACTTGATGAGCACAGTTTATTACTGATCATAGTTACTTACTGTTCATAGTAACTTGCTGTATAAAGATACTTACTGATCCACTACATTTTACAACCGTTTCTTTAAATATTAAAATTGTGATCATTAGGAAATTCGTATTATAAATCAGCCTGAGGTAAACTTTTTCACTTCAAAGTTTAAAATTTGAACTTTTCTGTCAGAAATCCCTGAATTAAATTATTTATTTTGCTTTACTTAATTTTTAAGTTAATTAAAAAAATTACATTCTTGTAATCTTATTAATATTTTCCTAATTTTGACTTTTTAAGCAGCAAAAACACTTTCCCCTTAAAACCAGCAGGTCAGCTCTCTGAAATATGAGCTTTATAATCCAACCTTTCCTCCTACATAATTAAAATAATTGACGCGTAAGAAGATTATTTCTATTCGATTCCTCTTCGACTTTCACTACTTCTCTTTCCTTAAAACTATCAGAGCAAAGAATTTAATCCCCAATAAACAAAGCCCTGATAAGAGCCAAGAGTGCGCGGCTTGTGGCAATTAGCCAACACGGCGAACCCTTACCATGAATATTTTCGGCGGATAGCTGTGGTTCCGATTTCCAATCCAAATTAACCCATTGAATGTATACTTTAAGAAGTTTTAAGTTTTTTTTTAACATTTTAGTATTTTAAATATTTTCGTCTAAAGGTTGTCTGTAATATCAATACACCTTTAATGGGGAATTCCACGAGTTTATACATTCTTAGAACATGAACAGAAATTAAATTGATTTAAAGTTATAAAACATTTAAGGCTAGGCTTGTTTATATTTAATGGTGCATTTCATTTGAATATTATAAACTTATTCAATTCTCAGTAAAATCATTTTAAATAATGCCAACAAAATATTTCAATACTTAAAATATCCAATATGGTATTTTGTTCCCCTTTCCTTTTTTTGAGTGTTAATTAAATCCCATAGAATTTTAGCACCTTTTTTCCAAAGCTCCCTTTAAGTTGGCGCCCTCGAAAACAAAAAACAATTCCCAAAGGGTTAACCCCCCAGTGTCCCCAGTGTGCAAGCCAGCATGCTGTGTGCGTCTGTCTGCACAATCGGTTTGTTTTGGTTAGCTTTTTGCCCCTTGTTATACCCTTGCAGGGTATTATAATTTAGGGTATTATTATTTTAGTCAGAAGTTTGCAACGCAGTGAAGGAGACATTTAAGACCCTATAAAATATATATATTCTTGATCACCGATCAACAGCCGATCGGAAGACTTTATCACATAGCTGCCATAAGAATGATCGGATAATAATGAGAAATACATTTTATATTTATATTAATTAGAACCAAATTTATAACTTTTCCAGTTTTATCTAATTTGAGATAAAGCTATTAAGTAATTTTGTATAATTTTGGTTTTAATTTGATCAAAATCGGAAAACTTTACTATATATAGGTGGTATAGAAACGATCGTTAAATGTATTATGTCTATCTCGCTGTGTATGTTTAGAAACTCTTTCTCTCTGCCTTTCTCTTGAGATAACTCTCTCTAACTCCCTCATCTCCCTAACTCTATTTGCCCACCTCTTTCTCTAGCGAGCTCTCGCTCTCTCATTCTCTGTTCTCTTCACTCGGTGACTATAAATACAGCCACTGCCGTCGGGCTGGCCTCATTCTGTTCGCGGCTTTCCCCTTGTTAACATCTAAAGTGGTGGTGCTAGTGATTTTAGCCTTCGATCCCAAAAATGTTATCTGGCCAATGTAATACATCTTAAAAACCAGGATACAAAAATAAGTCTTTAAATTTGTTTAAAAATTCATAAAAATTTTATTTTTTTGTATATTAAGGCCCCATATGCTGGCATCCTAATAAAGCCAAAATAAAGAAAAGCTATCAAATTGAGATTAATGCATCTTTGGCTTATTTATGAGCGATTAAATATTCGAACCCTTGATCCTATGGGTAACTGCAAGGGTATACACACTTCGACTTCTTGACGTAAGCTTCCTTTCTTGTTTTTGCCTCCTTTTGCGACCGTGTTTGTGTTTTCGTGTCCTCTTATCTCTGGAGTAGCCGCCATGGGGGGTAGCCTCAAGAAAAAAAAGGGGGGTTTTGGTTTCTTTCCTTTTTTTTTTGTTTTTGGGGTGGTGAACTCTAGGGTCGAGTGGCTCAAGTGGCATACGAAATAGAAAGAAATGGGTTAATCAGCGCAATTAAGGTCAAAAACACGTAGTGACATCTGCCGATGTGTGCGGGTGTGTGTGTGTGTGCAGTGTGAATCAAAATTGCGCATACGCCGGGTAAGCCCTGCCATTATTCCATTGCAATCCCCCGCTGCGAGTCTGCCTCTAAGTGTGTGTGTGTGTATAGGTCACACATGTGTTATTTTTTGATACCCTTTAAAAGGTTACTAAAAATAAGGGAGGACATTTATACATGATTGATAGTGTATTGATATTTGATTTGAAAGCAAATAATACAAATAATACAAAAATTTTTCTATATTATCTATATTTTTTTATATTTGAAATTTCAATATATATAAGAGCTTACAATATTTTCTTGGCCATAATTTCTGGACAACGCAGTACAGAGACTTTCGTACATTAAAATACAATATACTGAATGTGGAAATTTCATGTAAATTCTGGCAAGTTAGGATCTCATCCTGGGCAGCTCTACTACACAGTACTCCCTAGATTTACAGGGTATTAAAAGTTCGCCTTGCTTCATCTAGCCTTCTTCCTTGTTTTCCCTTGCTTTTATTTCTTCTATTTTTGCGCTGCTCTATGAAGGCAAAAAATATAAATAAAAAGAGATAAAGATTCTCCCTTTTTTATTCGCTGCGCCGACGCTATAGCAGCGGTTGGGTCTCTAAGCCGTCGACGTTTCTCCCCGCCGAGAAACGAGTGTAACTCTGCGTGTGGGTGTGTGGGTGTGTGTGTGTGCGTGTGTGCGTGAGTTGGCGGGGCTATAAGACAAAAGCTCGACGCTCAGGAAACTTCAGATTCGCGTCGACCGTCACACGGGTCGCATACTCGGTCGCATTCTAGTTCCCCCAGTGCACTGTGTGGATTTTTGTGGCACCTTAAACGGTTCGTTGTTAGAATTTTTTGTGTGTCAAGCACCTCGAGTGCAGCAGCAACTTGACAACTAAAAAAAGCCCAAAAAAATAATTGGAATAACCCCGAAATCACGAGACACCAAACAACGCACAAGCCCAAAAAAAAAGTTTAAAGTGAATACTCAAAGAATACAAATCAAGTTTAAAGCGCTGATTTTCGGTACTTTAATTAACACGCTGCAGAACAGCTGACAATAACAATAAATAATTAGACATCTGACTATTAAATAAAAAAATAAGAACCACAAGAAAGACAGTTTCAACTGACAAAATAGAACAAACTTGAAATCTATCATACAAAATAATTAATAAGAACACAGAGGGACACCTTTAAAAACAACAACCAAACACTAAAAAATAAACCTTTTGCACTTTGTTATTATATTAGAAATAAAACATATAGTAAATAATGCAAAAAGAGCATTAAGTTAAAATTCCTCAATTCTGGTTGGTATTCAAATGAATAAATTCCTCTTAAAGAACATTTTTTAGTTGCCAATTAACACTTATTTCAGATAAAGCTTTGAAAGAACTATAGGAATTTGTTTTCTAGTAAAAACTTGGTCTTAAATAGGTTTTTATTATTAAAGTTAATTATAGGAAACAATACACAAACCGGCTAGAATTTTCATATGCTGGCAAATCAATTAGTCGGGAATCCATCTATATAGATTACAAGTGCGGTCAGAATAATAGCAGTGGCAATTTTCAAGCTTAATAAATTGCATTTTAATATAATAATTATATTAAACAATAATTTATGAAGAAATTTTAAGACTAAAATTATAAATTAAATTCAACAGTTCAAATAATTAATTTAAAGGCTGTTTCTCAAATCAACTTATCCATTTTTGACCTACATAAACTCCTACATGGATCTCTCTCATAAATAGACCTTTTTAAATATTAAATTTTAAATATTTTATTCCTTTTTGTGTGAGAACTGATACCATTTTCCCACCCAGCCAGTGCAAGGTGTTAAGAGCAATCTATAGTTCAATTGATAAGTCAATGTCAAGTCCAGCACGTGTTTCACAATTACGGCAAGGGAAGTACGGAAAAGTTATTGACTAAGGTTAATTAAATAACCGTGAGTCGGTTAAAAGTTAGTCTATCTTATAGTTTATGTTATGGAAACTACATTTTAAGAGTTTTTAGTAGTTAGAAGAATCTTTTTTTAATATTTATAAAGTAATTACAAAATGTATAACCAAATCTTGAGTATAGAAAAGAAGTTACCTAAATGTCTTAAATGTTGTATAAACTCAGGACGTAAATTTAATGACTTATTAAGAGTATTAATTTTCATTTAAAATTAATATTTATTACTCTTTATAATAAGTAGGTGTGATAAACTAGGTGAAATGCTCTCGAATAGTTAATGTTTGCTAACCGAAATGAATACATTATTACCATACCCATATGCTAATCATTCAAGTTCATTGCCCCCACAGCCGCATTTACATTTATTAATAAATATACATATGTACATAAATATGTATATGCACTCAGAGAACATGGAAAGCCCAAGCCAAAAAAATAACTAAAACAACTTTTGCATAATTAAGAATGACAGAAGATAGGAGAGGTGTGCAGAGAAAATAAACTAGCTGGGCGTTGCAATCTGGTTTATCCAGTATATATAGAAATATGTATGCAAGTTTACTCTATCTTATGTTCTTGGGCAAGGAGACTTGATCTAGGAGGTGGTAAAAAAAGGAAGATGACAGCAAAAGAAGCCACATTTTTAATAATTTTTTGAGTGTAATGAAATAGCTAGGAAATGAAGCAAAGGAACAGTTAAATATATCATTTTAAAATATAATTTTGTCTTCAAGGAATAGTATTTATTTATTTAATAGTGAAACAAACAAAAACATAACATAAAAGCTAAACTATAAATTAAGTAAAAACTCAATTTATAATTGACAGCTCAGTGATTTATTGAACTAGTTTGAGACTATTAAATCAAGCAAGTTAATTGCTAAATTTAAAACCTAGGCTCTTATTTATTTATTTATTTTTTTTTGCTAACTTCATCATATGTTTTTTTTAACTTATTATTCTGATAATTCTTCTTAGACCCCACTGTATTTTTTGTAAAATTTCTATCTCTTAAGCCCATGGTACCTAAGAAACTGTAAATATAAAGAAGGAAAGAATAAGGAAAAGGCAAATGAAACAAAATTAAAAGTATAGAAAATTCAGTATAAAATTGTAATGTCCGTAGATCTCACGCAGGTTTTATAAGAACTTAAATAATCTAAGAAATATTTTATTTAAAGGAGATACAGACCATAAAGACAAACATTCCCGTGATCTTGATATATTTATTTATAAATTATTAAATCAAAGTGGTAAAAATGAACTAAAAAGGTATATAACTAAAATCCATGAAAGAAGTTATAATCTTCAAGAGTAAATTAGTAAATCTCTAATTCAAAAAGTGTATGTAAATATAAATTAAACACAAGTCAGGTAAACGCCGCATAATGTGAGGAAGGAGTGGAGTCTCTTTGGGTTTCATTGGCCCAGACCTTAATACGTGCTCGGCATTTCAAGTGAAAAAAAAACTAAACAATGGCAAAGAAAACATAAAAACAATTTGCATTAATTGAAAATAAAGAAAACAGTGGCTAAGTAAACATAATAAATAAAAACAATTTGCATTAATTTGAAGTAAATCAGCGAAACCACAAAAAGTACAGCAAAAATTGCGATTTTATGCATACAGTAAATGCTGTTTAAAATCTAAGAAATATAATGGAAATAACATATAACATAAAATATAATTATTATATAAGCGTTAGTTATTGTGAAGAGATATTGATAATGTTGATATAATATTTGAAATCAATTGTATATAAATAAGTAATATATAAATGAATCAATTAATTCCCCACTTTGGACCATATCACTCCTAAGTGGTGTCCACTGTACACGATTTGCCAAAGTGATTTAGTTAATTGCTTCGGTTTGCTGCGCTTGAACGCCCCTCAAAAAAACAACAAAACAACTCAACTTAATTTCCACTTCCCTCTTCCCCAGAATCCCCCATGAAGTGGTTTCTCTTGTTCGTAGTGGCCCTTGGCCTGGGCCTAGCCGCGGCCTCCACCGATTCCCTGTCCGACTCCGACGCCTCGTCCGAGTCCGGAGTCCAGTTCGAATCTGGGTATAACTATTACCGTCTGCCGACCTCGCTGCGCCCGCAAAGGTATCACCTGCGCGTCCTCACCCAGCTGGAGAATCCCGAGGATCTGCGGTTTACCGGCAGCGTCAAGATCCTGATCGAGGCCCTGGAGAACACCAAGAACATAACGCTGCACTCGAAGAATCTGACCATCGATGAGTCCAAGATCACCCTGAGTCATGTTAGCGGTGCGGAGAAGAAGGATAACTGTGTGTCCTTCACGTCAGTGAATCCCAGCCATGACTTTTACATCCTAAACACGTGCCAAGAGCTGGTCGCCGGCAATGTGTACGAGCTATTCCTGCCCTTTGCCGCCGATTTGAACCGACAGCTGGAGGGTTACTACCGCAGTTCCTACAAGGATCCGGTGGCCAACAAAACCAAGTGGGTTTTACCTTAAATAACTTGTATGGGAAAAGACATCTTACTAATCAGTTGCTATCTCCCTGCAGATGGATCTCTGTCACCCAGTTTGAGCCTGCTTCGGCTCGTCTGGCCTTTCCCTGCTTCGATGAGCCCGACTTCAAGGCGCCCTTTGTGGTCACCTTGGGTTACCACAAGAAGTACACGGGACTCAGCAATATGCCAGTGAAGGAGACCAAGCCACAGTGGGTTTTCCTTAGATTTCCAAGTGAGTTTTCTCACTGAGAGTCCCCTTTCGTTGCAGTGAATCTCTCCAGGACTACGTGTGGACTGAATTCGAGGAGTCAGTGCCCATGTCCACTTACCTGATTGCCTACTCTGTCAATGACTTCTCCCACAAGCCTTCGACTCTGCCCAATGGAGCCCTCTTCCGCACCTGGGCCCGTCCCAATGCCATCGATCAGTGCGACTATGCGGCAGAGTTTGGCCCCAAGGTCCTCCAGTACTACGAGCAGTTCTTCGGCATCAAGTTCCCGCTGCCCAAGATCGACCAGATCGCCGTGCCCGACTTCAGTGCCGGAGCCATGGAGAACTGGGGTCTGGTCACGTACAGGGAGATCGCGTTGCTCTACTCGGCGGCGCACTCCTCGCTGGCGGACAAGCAGCGTGTGGCCAGTGTGGTGGCCCATGAGTTGGCTCATCAGTGGTTCGGCAATCTGGTCACCATGAAGTGGTGGACGGATCTGTGGCTCAACGAGGGATTCGCCACGTATGTGGCCAGTTTGGGAGTGGAGAACATCAACCCGGAGTGGCGGGCCATGGAGCAGGAGTCGCTGTCCAATCTGCTGACCATCTTCCGCAGGGATGCCCTGGAGAGCAGTCATCCCATCTCGCGGCCCATTCAGATGGTGTCGGAGATCTCCGAGAGCTTTGATCAGATCTCTTACCAGAAGGGTTCCACGGTGCTGCGCATGATGCATCTGTTCCTGGGCGAGGAGTCCTTCCGCTCCGGCTTGCAGTCGTATCTGCAGAAGTACTCCTACAAGAATGCAGAGCAGGACAACCTCTGGGAGTCGCTAACCCAGGCGGCGCACAAGTATCGAGCCTTGCCCAAGAGCTACGACATCAAGAGCATCATGGACTCCTGGACCCTGCAGACGGGGTGAGTCTGGGGGTGATCTCTTCTGCTTTTTAATTATTATGAGTTTCGTCTTCTTTTCCACTAGATACCCCGTGATCAATGTGACCCGTGACTACACCGCCAAGACCGCCAAGCTGAGCCAGCAGCGGTATCTCCTGAATACAGAGATCGCTCGTGCCCATCGCGGTGGATGCTGGTGGGTGCCACTGAGCTACACCACTCAGGCTGAGCAGGACTTCAACAACACGGCGCCCAAGGCCTGGATGGAGTGCGGCAAGGAGGGCCAGAGCCTGGGCAAGACAATCAAGGACCTGCCGGGGGCCGATCAGTGGGTGATCTTCAACACGCAGCTGTCGACGCTCTACAAGGTGAACTACGATGCCCAGAACTGGAAGCTCCTGATCGAGACGCTGACCGGTGGCGACTTCGAGCGCATCCATGTGATCAACCGGGCGCAGCTGATCGACGATGCCCTGTACCTGGCCTGGACCGGGGAGCAGGACTACGAGATTGCCATGCGGCTGATCGAGTACCTGCAGCGGGAGAGGGAGTACCTGCCGTGGAAGTCGGCCTTCGAGAATCTGAAGCGAGTGGGCCGCATCGTTCGACAGACGCCCGACTTTGAGTTCTTTAAGGTAGGTCCTGGATTCCTTGATATCCGTATCTAAAGGATTTACCTGTGCCCTGTGGCGTAACCCCATTCTCCATTTGTATTTCGAAACGAAAAACTTTCAAAATTGCTCACACCTAACATCCCACTCGTAAACACTCGCGAACGAAAAGTTGTTCTTTGTCGTAAGTCTGAGATAATAATCTATATAGAGTCCACAGAAACATTATTTCTGATCCATCGATAACCACAAATATTTCCGTGTTCGAAACAGCGCTACATGAAGAAGCTGATCGCGCCGATCTACGAGCACCTGAGCGGCATCAATGACACCTTCAGCTCCATTCAGCAGCAGGATCAGGTCCTGCTCAAGACCATGGTCGTGAACTGGGCGTGTCAGTACCAAGTGGATGACTGCGTCCCTCGGGCGGTGGACTACTACCGCAAGTGGCAGGCGGAGGCGAATCCCGACGAGAAGAACCCGGTGCCCATTAATGTGCGCAGCACTGTTTATTGCACTGCGATCAGGCACGGATCGGATGCCGACTGGGAGTTCCTCTGGACGCGGTACAAGAAGTCCAATGTGGCCGCCGAGAAGAGGACCATCCTGACCGCTTTGGGTTGCTCCAGGGAGGTCTGGGTGCTGCAGCGGTATCTGGAGCTGACCTTCGATCCCAAGGAGGCCATACGCAAGCAGGACTCCATGTGGGCCTTCCAGGCGGTGGCCTTCAACGAGGTGGGCTTCCTGCTGGCCAAGAAGTACTTCATGGACAACGTTGAGTTTATCTACAAGTTGTAAGTGACTCACTCTACTCTCCTCACTGTATTCCCTACTGACATCCTTTATTTTTGTTCAGCTACCATCCTCTCACCAAGGACATGTCCCGCCTCCTGTCGCCGCTTTCGGAACAGGTCATCACCCAGACCGACTTCAATGAGTTCAAGGACTTTGTGAACAACTCCCGACAGTCGCTCAAGGGCCTGGAGCAGGCCATCCAGCAAACCCTGGAGATAATGCTCACCAATGTGCAGTGGAAGGAGCGCAACTACCACCAGATGTCACGCTCCATTCAGCAGCTTCTCTAGATTGTCCAGCCCTTAGACTCTCATCAGCTCATTTAAAGGAATCTCCAAGTTTCAGCAGCAGGAATATTATGAATATTTAAAGTCCCTTAAATAAAATATTTAATACACTCTAGTATTATTCGTCTGTGTCAACAGAAATTATGTTTCACTTATTATATGTCCATGAGTAGGGTGAAGAATAGTTCCCCCATTTGAAAAATTACGCATACGCCATGTTAGACGCCCGGCAATAACATCAACTATTTCCAGATCACCCAAGTTTTGTGTTTAATGTTCGGCTGATAATGCTTGTAATCTCAATATTTTCCAATCTAGTTTTTTCTACTGTTCCTCTCTGAAATCGTAACGTTTAAAAGACTTTACACTCGCTTTAAAGCTGCATACGGTCGCCGTCCTCTGGCGAGTTCATTATTTGCGATTTGTTGATCGCGGAAATTGGTTCATTTGGTTTTCGTTTCCTTCCCCGAAGTGTGAGTGCAAAGAACCCAAATAAAAACAAATCAAAACATTGAACACGTGCCGCAAAGTAAACTGAGCTCGAAAAAGGTATGCAAATCCAATGAAATCCAAGTGAAAGTCCCCATAAACATAAAACCCGACGTCTGGAATATGTCATAATAATTTATAAACGGACTGGTGAAATATATTGGTCACAGTGAATACTAATATTAAACAAATAAGCTTCTTAATTTCCGTGTTGGACATTGAACTTCCCATGGAATTTTGATATAGTAGATTCCTTTAGATTTATTATGTATAAATTGGAACAAAACAAGTCAATTGATTGAGCGTAAATTACTCATCATAAATATATTATATATATATTTTACTCTTTATTAATTACCTAATTAAAATCAACTTAGATTGTGTTTACAGTTCACAAGATCAGAGAGATTTTGCATTTCGATTAGCGGAAAGTTGATAATAAGTGTATAGTTATTGATTTTGTGGCGAATAAAATGTAAAGTTTAAATCTTTTATAATTTTATATTATTATACAACATTAACCGAGAATAATTTGTAGAACTAATTTAGCTAATTTCTCCTGTTTGCTATGCTTAAAGTACAGATCTGATCCGCATTCACCTTCAGAGTCTGCCATGAAGTGGTTTATATTATTTGTGGCATCCCTTGTTGGCCTGGGACTGGCCTCCTCCAGCTATGACCACTACCGCCTACCGACGGATCTCCTGCCCCAGAGGTATCACCTGAGGATCCTTACCCATCTGGAGGGCCCGGAGGCCCTTAGGTTCTCTGGATCTGTGAAAATCCTTATTCAAGTCTTGCAAGACACCAAGAACATATCGCTGCACTCCAGAGACTTGACCATTGATGAGTCCCGGACAACTCTAACCCATCTCGGCCCTGAGACGACTGAGAATATCTGTGTGTCCTCCACGGAAGTGAATCCCACCCACGACTATTATATCCTATTCCCATGTCATGAACTATTGGCCTACAACTACTATGAGCTCAACTTGTTCTTTTCCGCCGAACTAAATCAAAAAATGGCCGGTTACTATCGCAGCAGTTACACCGATTCCGTGACTAAAAGCCCGAGGTTACATTTTTGCTGAAACAGAAAATGATATGGCTATCTGAGCATTATTTCCTTTGTTTAGGTGGATTTCCACAACTCAATTCGAACCGGCTTCAGCTCGATTGGCCTTTCCCTGCTTCGATGAACCCAACTACAAGGCTCCCTTTGTGGTCACATTGGGACACCACAAGAAGTACAATGCTCTCAGTAACATGCCGGTGAAGACAACAAAGCCACAGTAAGTTTCCTTGATTTTTAAGTGAGTTTTGATAGCAAAAATCCCAACTCCATTTCAGTGAATCCCTTTCGGATTACGTGTGGACGGAATTCCAGGAGTCAGTGCCCATGTCCACTTACCTGGTGGCCTATTCCATCAATGATTTCTCATACAAACCCTCAACTCTGCCCAATGGAGTTCTCTTCCGCACTTGGGCCCGTCCCGAAGCCATGGACCAGTGTGATTTTGCGGCGGATTTAGGACCCAAGATACTGCAATATTACGAGGAGCTGTTTGGGATTAAGTTCCCGCTTCCGAAGATCGATCAAATGGCCGTTCCGGACTTTGAATCGGCTGCTATGGAGAACTGGGGTCTGGTTACCTACAGGGAGACCGCGTTGCTCTTCTCCAACAATTCGTCTTCCTTGGAGATCAGAGACAACGTGGCCAGTGTGGTGGCCCACGAGTTGGCCCACCAGTGGTTCGGCAACTTGGTGACCATGAACTGGTGGACGGATCTGTGGCTCAACGAGGGATTCGCCACCTATGTGGCTGCTTTGGGCGTGCATCACATCCACCCGGAGTGGCGCTCTAAGGACAGGAAATCGATTTCAGATATATGGGACACTTTCCGGCACGATGCCCTCAGGAGCAGTAAGCCGATCTCGAGGCCGATTGAAGTGGTATCGCAGATCGCGGAGACCTTTAATGTGATCTCCTATAAGAAGGGATCGTCGGTCATACGGATGATGCACTTGTTCCTGGGAGAGGAGGCCTTCCGCTCCGGTCTGAACTCCTACCTTCAGGACTACAAGTACGAGAATGCGGAACAGGACAACCTCTGGGTGTCGCTTACAAAGGCTGCCCACGAGAGTGGCGCATTGCCTAGGAACGCCGATGTCAAGACCATCATGGACAGGTGGACCCTTCAAACGGGGTAAGGATGCACCCAGGTTGAGCATTGTAATTGGAAACGCTGAATTTTAACCTCTTCTCTGACAGCTACCCCGTGGTGAACGTGATCCGTGACTATGCAGCAGGAAGTGCGGATATCTCCCAGGAGCGCTACTTTTCAAACAACGAGGTGTCCAGTTCTCATCGCAAAAAATGTTGGTGGGTGCCACTGAGCTACACCACACAGGCGGAGCTGGACTTCAACAACATGTCGCCCCAGGACTGGTTAGAGTGCAGCAAGAAGGGCCAGAGTCTGCCCAAGACGATCGATAATCTACCGGGAGCCGATCAATGGGTGATCTTCAACACTCAGCTATCGACGCCCTACAGGGCCAACTACGATGCCCAGAACTGGAAGCTTCTGATCAAGACATTGAACAGCGAGAATTTCAATAGCATCCACGTGATCAATCGGGCTCAGCTGATCGACGATATCTTCACCTTCGCCTGGACAGGAGAGCAGGACTACGAGACCGTAATGGAGGTCTTGGAGTACATGCACCGCGAGCGGGAGCTGCTTCCCTGGAGAGCGGCTTTTGACAACATAAGGCTCATAAATCGCATAGTCCGAAGGACTTCCCAGGGGGGCTTAATCAGGGTAGGTTCTGTGTATTAGGTGACCCTGGAATCCGTTACTGAACATCCCATCTATCCTCAGCAATACATGAAGAAGCTGCTCCCGCCGATCTACGAATACGTGAACGGCATCAACGACACCTTTGCCTCCTTTCAGCACCAGGATGAGATTATACTGAAGGTCAACGTTGTCAGCATGGCGTGTCAATTCCAGGTGGGGGATTGTGTGGCTCGGGCGGTGGAGTACTTCCGCCAGTGGCAGGCGGAGCCAAATCCCGAAGAGAGCAACCCGGTGCCCGTCAATCTGCGCAGCATTGTTTATTGCACGGCGATCAGGACAGGATCGGAAGACGATTGGCAGTTCCTGTGGACGCGGTACACGAAGTCCAACAAAGCGGACGAAAAGGTGACCATTCTGGACTCTCTGGGATGCTCGCGGGTGGTGTGGCTTCTGCAGGAGATGCTGGAGTTATCCTTCGAGGCGCGGGGCCCCATTCGACCGCAGGACTCGGTTATAAGCTTTGATTCGGTGGCCGAGAACCCAGTAGGATTTATGTTGGCCAAGCAGTACTTCATGCACAACTTCGATCACATCCACAAGTTGTTAGTGTTAACAAGTGTCACTTGAGGGTCTCCTTTTTACGAATTTACCATCTTTTCCAGCTACTATCCCTCCGTCAAGAGCATGTCGAAACTCCTAACGCCGCTGTCGATGCAAATGATAGACCTCAAGGAATTCCATGAGTTCGAGGACTTTGCCGGCCGATCGCGAAATTTACTGCAGGGCATTGAGGAGAAAGTCCAGCAGACCCTGGAAAGGATGCGCATCACAGTGCAGTGGAAGCAGCAAAACTTTGACGACTTCAACAGCGCCATAAGGCAGTCCCTGTAGGAATCATCATGTCCCTGATACACCAGACATCGCTGTCGGCTGTCTAATATTATAAATATCATATAAATATTTCAAGTTCCTTGAATAAATTGATCATTACAGGAATCTAATTTATGGTGTTACATGTACCCTCTACCAAAACGCTAAGATAAGCGCCCTTGGCAGTAATTATAGGTTTAAGAAAATTATCTCAGAAGAAATAATAATTATAGTTTACAGCTGTCACTATGGTTTATAACCAAAAAAACTGACAATTTGTGCTATCAGTTAGGCAGGTTTTTGCCACTCTCTGTATATATAGCTCCAACGACCGTAGAATGAACCCAAATCGGTCTACGGCTTTCCGAGTGTTTAGTGCTTGTTTTTGAGTCAAATATATAAATATTTTTACCATTAATTCGATTCACAGAATCATGAATTGGCTTCTGTTTTTCTTATTGACCCTAATTTTGGGCTTAACCACGACTAGCTCTGAATCAAACTATAACTACTATCGCCTGCCGACTGCTCTGCGACCCCAGAAATATTTCTTGAGCATCTTAACCGATCTAGACAACCCAAAGGGGTTTAGCTTTAATGGGACTGTAAAAATCTTAATAGAGGTCCTGGAAAACACGAGGAACATAACGCTGCACTCAAAGGATTTAAAAATTGATGTATGCCAGATAAGTCTCAGGAAAGTCAATAGTTCAGAGAAGCGGGATAACTGCGTAAATTCCACTGCAGTAAATCCTACCCATAACTACTATATTCTAAACACATGCCAGGAACTGTTGGCTGGCAATGTCTACGAACTAACCATGTCATTTTCCGCCGATATAAAAACGCAACTTGAGGGATACTACCGTAGTTCTTACGAAGATCCCGAGACAAATGAGACAAGATGGATCACCATTACGCAATTCGAACCAGTTTCAGCTCGTCTGGCTTTTCCCTGCTTCGATGAACCCAACTACAAGGCTCCTTTTGTGGTCACATTGGGACACCACAAGAAGTACAATAGCCTCAGCAATATGCCAGTAAAGAAAACAAAGCCACAGTAAGTTTCCTTGATTTTTAAGTGAGTTTTGATAGCAGAAATCCATATTCCTTTTCAGTGAATCCCTCACGGATTACGTTTGGACGGAATTCCAGGAGTCAGTGCCCATGTCCACTTACCTGGTGGCCTATTCCATCAATGATTACTCCCACAAACCTTCAACGCTCCGAAATGGAACCCTTTTCCGCACTTGGGCTCGTCCGAACGCCCTTGATCAGTGTGATTTTGCGGCGGATATAGGACCTAAAGTTCTGCAATATTACGAAGAGTTGTTTGGAATCAAGTTTCCGCTGCCGAAGATGGATCAGATTGCCATCCCCGACTTTAAGACCGGTGCCATGGAGAACTGGGGTTTAGTGGCTTACGTGGAGACCGCGCTGCTTGTCTCCGCGACTCACACCTCACTGGAAGATAAAATGAATGTCGCAGAAACTGTGGCCCATGAGTTGGCCCACCAGTGGTTCGGCAACTTGGTCACCATGAAGTGGTGGACGGATCTGTGGCTAAACGAGGGATTCGCCACCTATGTGTCTTATTTGGGCTTGGCTCACACCAATCCAGAGTGGAACTTCTTAGAAAAGAACTCATTTGGAGACCTGAAGAGCATTTTTCGAATAGACGCCATGGAAAGCAGCCATCCCATCTCGAGGCCCATTCAATTGGTCTCGGAGATCACCGAAAGCTTCGATGATATTTCTTATAGGAAGGGATCAGCGGTGATACGGATGATGCACTTGTTCCTGGGGGAGAAGACCTTTCGCTCTGGTCTTAAATCCTACCTGCAGACCTATAAGTACAAGAACGCCGAGCAGGATAACCTGTGGGAGTCACTCACCGCAGCAGCGCACGAGAATGATGATCTACCCAAGAACTACGAGATCAAGACCATCATGGATTCGTGGACACTACAATCGGGGTAAGTCTGCAGTTTTAAATTGCAATTAAAATCAATATTTTCCTTTGACAGCTATCCCGTTATCAACGTGACCCGTGACTATGCAGCAGGAAAAGCGAAACTTACCCAGGAACGTTATCTTCTTAACTCCGAGGTACCCAGATCTAATCATAAAACCTGTTGGTGGGTGCCACTGAGCTACACAACCCAGTCGAAGTTGGATTTCAACAACACGTCGCCCAAGGACTGGTTAGAGTGCAGTAAGGATGGGCTGAGCCTGCCCAAGACGATCGGGAACCTACCAGGAGCCGACCAGTGGGTGATCTTCAACACCAAGCTGACGGCACCCTACAAGGTTAACTACGATGCCCAGAACTGGAAGCTTCTTATTCGAACCCTGAACAGCAAGGACTTCGAAAGCATCCATTTGGTCAATAGAGCTCAGCTGATCGACGATATCTTCACCTTCGCCTGGACAGGAGAGCAGGATTACGAGACTGCTCTGGGAGTGATCGGGTACCTTCAACGGGAGCGGGAGCTGCTACCTTGGAAAGCAGCCGATGAACATCTATCGAATTTGGATAAACTTGTTCGAAGCACTCCAAAGTATGGATCTTATAAGGTAGACTTGGTTTCATATTTCATGGGTACTCTCTACTAAAACCTCCCATCCGCAGCGCTACGTAAAGAAGTTGATCGCTCCTCTCTACGAAGAACTGAATGGAATCAATGACACCCTAGGCTCCATTCAGTCCCAGGAGACAACACACCTGAAAAAGATAGCAGTGTCCTTGGCGTGCAAGTACCAGGTATCCGACTGTGTGTCGAGATCTAAGGACCTATACCGCGACTGGAGATCGAAGGCTAATCCTGACAAGGACAACCCCGTGCCCGTCGATGTGCGAGACGTTGTTTACTGCACCTCAGTGGAACACGGCAGCGATGAGGATTGGGAGTTCCTGTGGACGCGGTACTTGAATGCGAATGTGGAAACCGAAAAGGATACCATTCTGAATGCCTTGACCTGCACGCGAGAAGTGTGGCTACTGCAGAGGTTTCTGGAGATGATGTTCGATCCGCAGGACGACATTCGGAGTAAGAATGCCGCCTCCGCGTTCGGTTTGGTGGCCTCCGACGAAGTGGGATGGTGGCTAGCCAAAAAGTATGTGCTAGACAACCTGGATCTCATCCATAAGAAGTAAGTACTTGTATTTAGTTATGGGTAAGTCGCTTAAACTACATTATTAATAAAATATACTTTCTCCCTAGCTTCTCTCCAATGAGCGCTTATATAGCTAAATTTTTGCCATCACTCTCCGTCAATGTCAATACCAGGCGGGAGTACAATGAGTTCACAGACTTATTGGACAGCTTAAAGGACTTGCTGAAGGACATGAAGCAGGCAGTCGAGCAGACCAAGGAGAGTATGCTGATCGAAGTGCAGTGGCATGAGCGAAAATACCTTCAGTTTTTCCAAGCCATTCAGCAGAAACTTAAGGAGGCTTAATTGAAGAGAAATTGTATATACAAATGTATTCGAAATAAATCAAAATATTATGGGATTGTAAAATGTAATTTAATGGATTATTTAAAAACAACGTAAGACCTGTACAAATCAGATCAAAGTAGGTATAAATTTTACACATTCTTACTTGCATGATCTATGATATAGACCCACTCAAGCCTCATTCAATTTTTAAAACTATATATCTTTCTCTTCGTACTCCGTACTCTCCTTAATTATAGTGATTGGGAAAACGTGAGTTCTAGTTTATAATACACACATATACTAGACGCTAATCGTTAATCGAGCCTTGAACTTAACAAAATATACTATAATATATTTCATTTTAAGAATTAAACCACAAACAATTTATTTCCTTGGCTACCAACGACATATATTAGTTGATAATAATAATTTTAGCACGTAATTAAATTTTAGACGTAATTAAATATATCCCAAATGCATCTGCCAAAAAGTAGACTCTAAATTTGTAAACTTACTGTGACTGCAACGAATCTCAAATAATCTCATTTTTCTGGTTTCAAGTAATTAAATATTACGCATACGTCCCGTTGACGCTGTTATTAATTTCATTCCTAAGCAAAATGAGTGTAGGCATTGATTAACTCTAATGATTCTCAATTCTCTGAGTTAGTCTCTCTTTTCTGACTCTCCGCTGAGCTTTCAGCAAATAAATTAAGTTCCGATTGTTAATCTCATCTCATTCGATCGTCGAGTTGCGTTGAGCTCAGAGGTGTGTATTTTGCGGCGCTGATTTCTAGAAATTAAAAATGATAAAAAAAACAATTTTTGTCTGTCAAATTCTAAGTGTTGAACAAAAGAATCAATAAATTATATAACAAAACAAAAGCCAGTAATTGCCAGTCAAGTTTTAAGTGATAAAAAGTGGCGTAAATTTCCATGTTTACAACCGCTGCAGTTAACATTAATCACATTTGCAAATGTAGAGATTAAACGTCTAAGTGACGTATTTGTTGGTTTCTTGAAAATAATATATACACATTTGATTGAATTTATTAATTGTTCCAGGAACTAGCAAAGTTTTATTACCTATTGCCCGCCTGATAACATTTGTTTGTGATTTCAGGGGAAACCACATGTGACTTTAATGCTCATTCAAAATTTATTTAAATTATGTATACATAATATACATACATCTTTTGGTACATGGTATTTTCTTAAACCTAATCTTTTACATAAATATGTATTTTGGAACAATAAAAAAAGTCTCTATAGATGCTAATCGTTCAAGCTCATTGACCCTAAGGCAAATTAGTTTAATATTCATGTTCTCAGGAAACTGGGTCAAGAAAACTAGTTTTTTAAAGAGTTTGGCGTAAAGTCTTAATCATATTTCAGTTAATTTTTAAGCAAATCAAACTGTTTTAAATTGAAATTTAGTTAATTAGCATTTATATCTTGTATTTATAGAATCGCAGTATGAAATGGTTTATGTTACTTGCGGTGGCTTCAGCTGTGGGCTTAGCCTCCTGCGATTCCAACTACAACCACTATCGCCTGCCAACGGCTATTCGTCCCCAGAAGTATCAGTTGAGCATCTTGACCCTTATGGAGCATCCTCAAGAGTCTACATTTAATGGAACTATGAAAATCTTAATAGAGGTCCTGGAAAACACCAGGAACATTACGCTGCACTCAAAGGATTTAACCATTGATGAGTCCCAGACAACTCTAAGCCAAGTCAATGGATCACAGAAGCAGGATAACTGCGTATCCTCCACTGCGGTGAATCCCAACCACGACTATTATATTCTAAACACATGCCAGGAACTGTTGGCTGGCAATGTCTACGAACTAACCATGTCCTTTTCCGCCGATCTGAATGCGCAACTTGAGGGATACTACCGTAGTTCCTACGAAGATCCTGAAGCAAATGAGACGAGATGGATCACCATTACGCAATTCGAACCAGCTTCGGCTCGTCTGGCTTTTCCCTGCTTCGATGAACCCAACTACAAGGCTCCTTTTGTGGTCACATTGGGACACCACAAGAAGTACAATGCTCTCAGCAATATGCCAGTAAAGAAAACAAAGCCACAGTAAGTTTCCTTGATTTTTAAGTGAGTTTTGAAAGCAAAAATCCATATTCCTTTTCAGTGAATCCCTCCCGGATTACGTGTGGACTGAATTCGAAGAGTCAGTGCCCATGTCCACTTACCTGGTGGCCTATTCCATCAATGATTTCTCCCACAAACCTTCAACTCTGTCCAATGGAGCTCTCTTCCGCACTTGGGCTCGACCCAACGCCATCGATCAGTGTGTTTACGCCTCGGAATTTGGACCCAAGGTTCTTCAGTTTTACGAAGAGTTGTTCGGGATCAAGTTCCCGTTGCCCAAGATGGATCAGATTGCGGTGCCCGATTTCTTTGCTGGTGCAATGGAGAACTGGGGACTGGTTACCTACAGGGAGTCCGCCCTTCTCTTCTCACCAGAGCATTCGGCGTTGGACGACAAACAGCATACGGCGGAGGTGTTGGCTCATGAATTGGCCCACCAGTGGTTCGGCAACTTGGTGACCATGAAGTGGTGGACGGATCTGTGGCTGAACGAGGGATTCGCCACCTATGTGGCTACCTTGGGCTTGGCACACGTTCATCCAGAGTGGCGTTCCTTGGACAAGGAGTCGGTGTCTAATCTGCTGACGCTTTTCCGAAAGGACTCCCTGGAAAGCAGTCATCCCATCTCAAGGCCCATTCAATTGGTCTCGGAGATATTCGAAAACTTCGATGCGATCGCTTACGAAAAGGGATCGTCAGTGATACGGATGATGCACTTGTTCCTGGGAGAGGAGGCATTCCGCTCCGGCCTGAAGTCTTACCTTCAGATGTATAAATATAAGAATGCGGAACAGGATAACCTCTGGGAATCGCTAACCCAGGCGGCACACAAGAATGGTGCTCTACCGAAGGACTTTGATATCAAAACCATTATGGACTCCTGGACTCTGCAAACAGGGTGAGTTCTTTAAAATTTATTTATGATAAAAAATGTTAAAGAATAAATGCTTTGACAGTTACCCTGTAATCGACGTGACCCGTGACTATGCAGCAGGAAGTGCGGAGCTCACCCAGGAGCGCTACCTTCTGAACACCGAGGTGTCCCGGTCCCATAATGGAGGATGCTGGTGGGTGCCACTGAGCTACACCACCCAGTCAAAGCTGGATTTCAACAACACGTCGCCCGAGGACTGGTTAGAGTGCAATAAGGATGGGCAGAGACTACCTAAAAAGATCGGGAACCTACCAGGAGCCGACCAGTGGGTGATCTTCAACACCAAGTTGTCGGCGCCCTACAAGGTGAACTACGATGCCAAGAACTGGAAGCTTCTTATTCGAACCCTGAACAGCAAGGACTTCGAAAGCATCCATTTGGTCAATAGAGCTCAACTGATTGACGATGTCTTGTACTTCGCCTGGACAGGAGAGCAGGATTACGAGACCGCACTGGGAGTGATCGAGTACCTTCACAGGGAGCGGGAACTACTTCCTTGGAGAGTGGCTTTGGACAATCTTAAGCTGCTGAATCGAATCATTCGACAGACACCCAAATATGGCTCCTTCAAGGTAAGCATACCTTTCTAATATTTTGAGAGAATTTCTAATCCCGAACCCCTGCCTCCACAGCGGTTCATTAAGAAGTTGATTACCCCGATCTACGAAGATCTTAATGGTATCAACGACACCTTCAGCACTATCCAGGAAAAGGATCAGATCCTGCTGAAAACAACTGTGGGAACATGGGCTTGCGGTTACCAGGCTTCGGATTGCGTGCCTCGGGCAGTGGAATACTTCCGCAAGTGGCAGACGGATCCTAATCCCGATGAGAATAATCCCGTGCCCATCGATATCCGTAACATTGTGTATTGCACTGCGATCGAACATGGCAGTGACAATGATTGGGAGTTCCTGTGGTCGCGGTACTTGAAGGCGAACGTTGCAAGCGAAAAGCTTACCATTCTGGATGCTCTGTCCTGTTCGCAGGAGGTGTGGCTACTGCAGCGCCTCTTGGAGATGACCTTCGACCCCAAGGGTGACATCCGCAAGCAGGATTCGGCTTGGGTCTTCACTTCAGTGGCTGCCAATGAAGTGGGTTTCCTGTTGGCGAAGAAATATTTCATGGACAACGTGGAGTCTATCTACAAATTGTGAGTAAAGTTATTAAATTATATTAAATACAAATTGAATGGGTTTGGAAACTACCTTTTTTCGAATCCACCTTTCTGTTTTTTATACTTTAAATTCCTTTTGCAGCTACCATCCTCTTCCCAAGGTTTTTTCTCGTCTGTTGCCGCCATTATATGAGCAGATCTTCAACCGGATTGACTACAATGAGTTCAAGGACTTTGTTGCCAATTCAAGGGATTCCTTCAAGGGTCTGGAGCAGGCGACCCAGCAGGCCCTGGAAATAATGCTAACCAATGTGCAATGGAATGAGCGAAACTATGCCAACTTTTCCAGCGCCATTCGGGAGTTCCATTAGGAATATAAATCATTTTTGAAGTTCCTTGAATAAACTGATAAATATCGAATTAGTAGTGTTCAATAAATTGGGGTCGCCCTGTACCGCCCAAAAGGAAAAATTAGATTAGATTTAGCCATATGTGAATATATGTATATGTTGTATATTTCGTATATTTAGTTAAGCATGTTCTAATAATGCTAATTCAGTAATAAACATAAATAGAATGGTAATCCAACGCTTCATGCGTATCTCAATTTGTGTCTCTCGCTGAATCCGGTTCTTAGTGTTATTTTTACTTGTTAATGTTAAATTTAATTGTTAAACATAAACTTTACACAAGAAATCATTGTATGCTCTGTAAATATTAATATCACTATATGCAGCGCTCTTGGAAAATATATATGTGTAAGTCGAAACGAAACTAAAAACTTAGTGGAGAGTGTGAGAGAAACTAGGGCTAAAAAGAACTCTGAAATCCCAGAGGACCAAACGATACTATCGGGAAAGCATTTAAAAACGATGTAATGTTCGCTCAATATTCGAAAACTAACTCGGAAAAGAGAACTCAGTAAAAAATAATTATATTTTACTCAGTTTTACATCATTTCTGAGCCCGTCGGCGATCGGTTTGCAATAATTAAGTTACATTTTGCTTTAAAAGTTCGGGTCCTCTGGGATATTGCGTTAATAGTGGTTGTGCTATTACAATTATTTCAGAGATATTATTATTTACTATTATGCATCAATTATTACATTACAATGAAGGTTGTGTTCTTTTCTTCGGGTTTCGCCCTATAAACTATGCAATAATCAAATTTCATAACAATTCTCAGAGTTGTTCTTCGTTCGCTTGATCTTCCAATTCTCGCGTTTTGTGTGATGAGTTCTTTAACGACTATTCAACACTTGGTATATTATATTTTTGAGTGTGTCCAGAGAGTGTTTACTGTACTTTATTAGATGCTGTGATTATTATTACAGATTGCGCATGAAACAAAACTGGGATCGACTTGGTGTCCTTGAAGAAATACTTCTTGATTATTTTCATATTATTTAATAATAATTATTATAATTATTACAATGACACTCACAAAGGTGTGCTTAATTTGTTTCTGTCGCAATATAATTTAATGTAGCGAAAGCCCTTGCCTTGTTATTTCGTTCGATTTAGCGTTCTCTGTCGTTCTCAACGTTTTAAATTCGTGTTTCGTTTGAAGCTTAATTAATTAATTACAACAAATACACGCGCAAATCATCAAATGCATCGATTAAACAGACTTCAACTGAACCTATCTTATACATAATAATCAAAAACTGTGGGAAAATGATGTAACTAATAGTTAGATTATGCATGTAGGTAAACGATAGAGCTCTTAGTACGATATTACATATTTGTTTAACAAACAGACTTCTTCATTTGCTTACTAATTATACATCCCACGTCCTTATACATATATATATTTTCCGATAAATATGTGTTTGCCTGAACACCTCAAATTTTACTGTTGTCATTCGACCAGGAGGAGCTCTGCGCCGAGCCTGGTGGCTGCGCCGGCGGCGGCGGCGTTGAGGATGTTCCCGGCTTGGCGGGCGTCTGTAGATCGAATCGTGCGTAGAACAGCAAGTACGGAGTTATCGTGATCTTCCGCGTGGGCGATAGGAGCTCCTCAAACTCCCGCTGTGACATTGCCTTGATCTTGTCGTCGTCACACATATACCAGATGGGATCGGGGCCGCCGTGGACATAGTTGGCCTTGACACCGCCCCGTCCAGTGCTGCCGTAGCCCGTGGGATACGCTCCTCCTGAGCTGAGATTGCTGTTGCTGCCATTCTGCAGGGATTCCTCGCTAAAGTCACTGCAGCTGGCCGAGTTGCTGTTGCTGCTGTTGCTGCAGCAGAGCCGCATGGCACAGCACTGGACGCCGTGGCAGATCGTGTTGTTCATGCTCAGCTTCCCGATGCCATTGGTGATGGTCTTGCTGCTAATCCCGTTCAGCTGCTTCAGGTTCTTGCTCAAATCCCCGCTGCTCGAAGTCTTGCCACGTCCAAACTTCATCTTTTTCATCAGATTGCTGCCGGAGGAGGCCAAGGCTGAGGCAGCAGCTGCCACTGGTGTGCTGCTAGGAGCTGAATTTTCCGCTTCCGCTGCTGCGGCTATCGTCTGTGTGTTGCCCGTCATTATCGTATTCCTGCGATCTTTGGGGCAGTTCACATAGTCGCTGGCCAAGTCCAGGAAGCACGTATACGCAATGTAATGGCCCACCGTCAGCGTGGCTCCCACATGGGTAATGACGCTGTACAGCTTGTAGACATGGAGCTTATGGCCCTCGGCAAGATCACAACACTTGGCGCAGAAGCACGGCAGCGTAAAGGTGGTGGGGACATACGTACTCACCTTCTCCATGCCGCCAGAGAAACGATTCAACTGGATGACCAGCAGCCGGGGCAGCACCTCGTACGAGATGGAGCGTATGGCCTCGGTGTAGCCGGTGCACTGATTGCAGCTGTATTTGTTCTCGCCGCGGAAGTACTCCTTGGTCATGCAGGAGCTCTGGATGTAAGTGCTGGGCTGCTTGTCTTGTAGCTCGTTGTCATATCCGGATATCGGCACTGGCACCGAAATATCGAGCATGCCCTGCTTCTGCCGCGTCACCGTCTCGCAGCTAAGACACTTGGTGGTCAGCACTACAATGCCCTCGAAATCGGAGCTAAAGAAGTTCAGATTCAGCTCCTTTATCCGCTCCTCCAGTCGCATTTTGTCCTTGAGCAGCGTGGCCGAGTTGGTGTCGTCGTCGCTCGAGTATTTTGTGGGCTGTGGCATCGCTGGCGGCGGCGTGGGAGTGCCTCCACCACCGCCACCGGTGAGATCGACTGTGTTCAGGTAGAACAGGCTATTGGCCGTGGCATGGCCGGCTCCGGAGATCCCGCCCGTTGTCGTGGGACTATTGTCCTTGTCCTTGAGCGGCGACTGAATACGCGTCGCCTTAGATGACTTTACCTCGTCTTTTCTCTTCGATTTTCGTGAGAAGAATGACGTTTTGGTTGTGGTTATGTGACTAGTTGTGGCCAACGACCCGTTGTTGCTCGAAATGGCAGCGGAATCCGTGCGATCCTGGCCCTCACCCGAGTCCACATCGTCTGGATTGGCTATGTAGCTGAAACAAGAAAATGTTGACATTAAATATAGGTCTTGGAATCTTAATGAAAGTAATGAATCGATATTTAAAGCGAAAAACGATTTAAGACTCTGTTTGTACCAAAGATAAGCAACTTACCCATTTGCAATGACCTCCGGACACTCGCCGATGGACTTGATCAGTGACTGGTTCGTCTCCCGGATGCAGTTCAACACGCACATGAGAAACTCGTGAGCATCCTGCTGCTGATTCCCCTCGAAGGTGGCATTGACATCCTGGATGGCATGCAGCAGCGTGTCAGCATGGTAGGGCTCCGTAGAGTCGGCCATCTCGTTACCGTGCAGATTGTTGTACAGCTCGTGGAGATTCTCCGTTACCGACTGATGACTGGGCTTCCCGGAACCGCTGGCATTGGCATTGCTGGCACTACTCGCTGCTCCGCTGCTACCGCCATTCAGTCCGCTGTACTGCTGCTGCTGTTGATCTGTGCTGGCAACCAGATCCTTGCTACTCCAGCTGCGCGCATGCTCCAACTGGGCCGCACTCACATTGCGGCCCAGTGACGCCGACTTAGAGGCCTGCTGTTGGCGCACCATTGTCTGCTGGACCACGGTTAGATCTTGGATCAAATGGTGCAAATTGTGCAGAAAGTGGGGGGCAAAGCGCAGTGTGTACACCACCGAGTTCAAGTAGCATGTGTTACCAATGTTGCACAGCGTGCCCATGGAGGGGGCATGATTGAGGGCAGCTGATGCACTACCATTGAGTCCAGAGCCCGCTCCTGTGGGATTGCTACTGCCGGCGGATCCATAATACTGATGGCCACTCTGCGACATCTCTTGCGACTCGCCAATATCACTGGCTCCGGATGCTGAGCCCTGGCCGGCGGCATTGCCTGCACGCAGTCCGTTGTTGCCCGACCCATATCCGTTGGCAACACCTCGCCGTTCATCGGTGGTGCTTTGATAGCGTCGGTCGTACAACGACATCGCTGCTGAAGTTGTGGTTGATGTTGATGTTGTTGCTGTTGTTGTTGTGTCAGTGAGTATCCTCTTTCGGCTGGCTCTGCTGGCGCCTCTGCCTCTTATGGCCTTTCCAGTGCTCTTTCCTGTGGCGTCGAGTTCGGCCTGTGCCGCAGCAATGGCAGCCGCCGTTTCCGGTGAATATATCTCAAGGTCGTTAAGGATTTGATTTCGGCGCGTCCGAGTGCGTCCACCAGCGGTGCCGCCGCGTCGCTTTTTGGCAGCGGTTTTCCGCTCCGGCTCCTGCTCCTCAATGCAATTCCAAAATTCCGGCTTAAATTGTTCTGGAAAAAAAGAAATTCAAATTATTAACTGAATTTATGGAATTTTTCTGCGCCATTGTGCAGTTCTACATTTAGTGATTTATAATAAAATTAAAAAAAAAAATAATAATCTTAAGAAAGTTATGAACATTTTTCCGAAAAATGAACCATACTTTTATAAATCAAACAAATTTTAATCGATTTCTGTGACATTAAAAGCTATTATATAATCTGATTGCGGCGCTAATCAAAATATATTCGCTGATAAGACTTTAAAGGCGGCATGCCGTAATCCCACCTGGCTTGATATACTCAATGGGCGACTCGGTCGGCGTCGGCGAGGCAGCGGCCTGCGCTGGCGGCAAGGATGAAGGGCTCGGCGGCTTTACTTCACCTTCACCTCCTGGTGGTGGTGGTGGTGGCTTATTCTGGGACCGTAGGCTGGCGCAGCGCGTGGAGTTGGCGACATAAACGCGACGCTGTCGCTTCTTTTGCGGTTCGCTGAGCTCGACGACCTCTGAGTTGGCGACCACCACGCGATCGATGAGCTCAAGCACTTGCGGCAACAAGGGTAAGCTCTTAGTGTGCTCCTCCTGCTGTTCCTGCAGTTGCTCCTGCGGTTGGTGTTGCTCCTCCTGCTGTTCCTGCTGTTGCTCCTGTTGAGTCTGTAGTTGTAAATCTTGCTGGCTGATTTGAGTCTCGCTGTTATTGGTGCTCCTGGTGTCACTGGTATCGCTGCGTGGCAGTGGAAGACTGGCTGGTTCCTCTTTGCGCTCATTTACGTCATATTCGTGCATCTTTCATTATCCTGCAAAGGTAGCGAAACACATGGTTTCCCAAACCGATTAATAACATGTTGGCAATTGTTAATGGAGAGAGAGAAAGAAGCGAGCAGTTGGAGCAATGCCAGGTGATTGCCACAATCACAACAGGTAATAGGTAACAGGTTCGTCATCGCCGTAATTGATAAGGCATATGTCCGGCCACCCTAGCTAATCATTAACTAATCTATGGCCTGGCAAGTGATTCATAGGGGGTGATAGCACTGGGATAGATAATACCCACGGGGGATTCAAGGAGGCATGGCATCCTAAATGTGCTTGGATAGCCCTTCCTGGTCAGCTGATCTACGATGCATGTGAGTCAATTAGAAGAAATGGCAACTAAGTCAAAGCCTCCTATAAGAACAAGGGAACACGAAAAATTCGGCTTAAACAAATCCAAGTGCAACCCGAGAAACTCTCTCCATTTCACAACTGAGAGAGCCAGTGGCTATCCATGTCATCCGATCAAATGAAATGTATGTATGTATGTACATATGTATGTACGTGTGTCCCTGTAAATCCCACGCTCAATTACCAATTAAATAGATATGCACTTGAACCCGCTACCGTTTCCAATTATGTAAAAAAAATCGAAGGAGGGGAACGTGCTACTATTACTATTGATTTTGTTGCTGCTGCTGGAAATGAAGGTCACATGGAAATGAACTGCTGAAATCTGTGTGTGATGTATACGTGATGTACATACATACATATGTGTGATGTGTGATGATGTGCCCGAAAGCTCTGTTTCGGCGAATTTGAACGGCGAAGGTAAACAGTTATAATTGTGACAGTAATTTATGCACGGCTTGCTGCCACTGCCGCCGCTCTCGTCTCGGTTAAATTAGCTACAATTTATCGGCGAGAGGAACTCACATTTCTGGAGGAGCAACAATGCTGCGCATTAGCGGTGTTAAAAAAAAAAGGGGTTACAAGCGCCGCTGTCGCCGCCAATCGAAATTTCTTTTTAACAAATTTTTGTTTGCAACGTAAGAAACGCACACACACACACGCTCGCACTACTCGCTGCGAAGTCTGCTGCTTCTTCTTGTTTCACTTTTCACTTTTTTTCGCAGCTCTCCAAAGATTTTTCTCACAGTTTAGAGTTTCCGCTCGAAAATAAGCATTCGCAAAATGAATAAAGATTCATTAATTAAACCAATCAAACACCGAATTGAAATAGTTTATCCAGAGTACAAAATCAAAAATTTTGTGTAAAATTATGCGCGACTAGGGATGCAAGTAAAGGAATCGATGCTTCCTTGAAGGCGATAGTTACGCAATCGATAGTTGCGGAGCGGCAGCGAATCGAGTAGCGAAATCGAGTTTTTAATTTAGTTTTATACATATTTCAAGAATAATATTAAAAAATATAAGTTGAATTATTTATTTAATTTTTTTTACACTCGGAAAACACATAAGGAAACAAACTTCAGAACACTGAAATTTGTAAACTTTTGAAAAGAAAATCTATCAAAACTCAGTCAAAAATTCATCAATTTCCAATCGGAAAACGTTTCTCTGCTAGTTTTTATTAGTTTAAAAAATCTACACACTCAATTGAACATTTAAAAAAATTAAAATTTTTGATTGATTTTTTTACAATTTTAACGATGTAACCCCTTATAAACTTTTGAACTTTTGAAAAAATTTGAAATTTTTTTTTACCCCCCGAAGGTAGCTAGATCGATTCGGCTGTTGATGCTGATCAAGAATATATATGATTTATAGGGTCGGAAAGGACCGCTTCACACCGTTCGATGCATCTGACCGAAATTATAGTAACCTAGAAGGGTATAAAAAAAGGATGAGTTAACCTGAATTTCATTATGAACCACAGTTTAATTAAGAAAATGTTAAAAAAAAAATAATATTGCATGAGCACTGTTTATCTAAATTCGGATCGGCATAGTTTCGATCGGATTTTTAATATTGGCGAACTTTGGATTTAAATTAAATAAATTTTCTTCAGTGTTTCAGTGTGACCGATCAATCAATGGAATTTCCGGGCGATAAGAAATATCGAATTGCTGCCACCACTAAACCGAAAGCAACAAAAATAACAGGTTTTCCGACTCGCAGATCCAATAAACTCCAACAAAATAAAATTCCGAAATGGAACCCATATCACACCTAGTTAAATCCACGTTGCCCAACTACTTGTCCAACCTGCCGGTCCCCGACAGCTTCAGCGGCTGGTTCAAGCTCTCCTGTAAGTCAGCGTGAAGTTAACGTAAAAATATCCAAAATGGAATTTGAATCGCCTTCAAAGGGCACATAGATAATGAGAAAGCAGCTAGGGCTTTTGGGCTTTTGGATGTGTTCTCCAGGCTATACACTTGACCCTATATAGCAATATATTCATGTTTGCACTTCCAGACGACACGACAGTAAAAGCAAACGTGCAGAGCGCGCGATTATGCAACTTTTGTTGAGCCCGCAAGAGAAATTTTTAATTGACGCGAATTTTTATCGGCCAGGTGAGATAGGGCACCGGAGGCTAAACTTGCACACACGTACATCAATGTGCGTTTATAACCTAATCCCGCTCGATATACATATGTATGTGTAAAATATAGATAAACGACCTTGTGCCGGTTTCGGCTCACTGGCTGGCTGCTTGAGAGATCTAGTTTTCAGTGCCTTAAAATACACTTGGTCTATTCTGTTGCAGTCAAGGATTGTCTGGCCCTCATCCCGCCCACCGTTGTGGTGGCCGGAGTTGTTTATACCAGCTATCTTGCCTTCTGCCCTGCGGCAAGGGATCGGTGCATTGCCAAGAAGAGCGGACGCTGCAACAACAATATCCGGAAGCATGAGCCCAAGGTTGTGGACATGATCGATGTGGAGGATATTGCAGAGAAGGCCGCCTTCTGCCGTTGCTGGAAGACCAAGAACGTGAGTGGACTGCTATGGCATTCCTAACTATTCCGATACCTAATCTATAATCCTGTCTTTTAGTGGCCCTACTGCGACGGCAGCCATGGCGAGCACAACAAGCTGACCGGCGACAACGTTGGACCCGTCGTGATCAAGAAGTAAAGACAATGTGCCATGGGTACATAAAGCATTTCCTTTTATTCAAATATTTCTGCAAGCTTCTCCTTTGCTTTTAAAACCAAGTTTAATCAGTTTTAAACTTGTTTCGAAATACATACTTCTGTTCTTCGCATACCCTTGTATAATTGTTAAGCATTAATTGATGATATTCATGGATTAAGTCTATATAAAGCCAATAAAGTTGCCTACAACATTGAATTTAAGTACCAATATTTTTATAAAATTTTAGTTCAGATGGAAGTACCTATGAAACCTTTCGAAGCTCATCAAGAGCAATTATTGATAGCGTTTAATTAGATAACGCTGTTTTGTTTACAAATCTGCAATCTCACATTCCCCACCCCCAAGACTTGGAAAAACTCTTGTTAATTAATAGAAAACCGTTTATTCTTTTGTTTATAAATTATTTTCTGGCTGCAGGCGGCTGTCCCGTCGACAATATCAATGTTTATGGTTACAAAAACAATTCTCCAGAGTTCCAAATATAAGGGAGGATTAGGACGCAGCACGATAAATATACTATCAGTTGGAACTTAATAAATAGGCATCGTGCATGCTCTTTTGCTGCTGTATTTCGAATCTCAAACTTTTATTGTTACTGCTGCTGTTGCTGTTGTTAAGATCTGTGTGCCGAGTTGAGCTGGTTTACTTGAAGATCTTGCCCTGGTTGAACTTGCGGCCGTCCTTGTCGGCGCCGGTCCATGAGAAGTACTGGGTGACCAGCTTCTTGGTCTCCTCGCTCTTGGCATCGAGCTTCTTCCAGTCGTAGACCTCGTAATCGATCTGCCAGTCTGGGGACAGGGTGAAGGCCAGATCCTGTCCGCGCCACACCCACACGCCTGAGATGGTGCTGTTGCCGTCCTCGCCGAACAGGCACACGGAGGCGAAGGCAGCCTTGCGCATCTTGTCCAGACGCTGGAACATGCCGGTGATGAGATTGCACGACATGAACACCTTGGACAGCTCCTCGTTGTACTTGTACTCGCCAAACCAGATCGAGTAGTTCTCGGAATCGAACTTGTCGAAGAAGTACGGAATGGACTTGGCCTCATCCTCGTTGGAGTAGACGCGCTTGAAGTCATCAAAGTTGAAGGTTCCCTTGGGCAGAGCATCGAAGGGATCCTTGGACTTGGGCTCGGCAGCCAGGGCCTCATCAGCGGCATCCAATTCCTCGGGCTCGGCGGCCTTCTTGGGTGCCTGCTCCTTCTTCTCCTTGGGCTTCTTCTCCTGCTTCTGCTGAGCCTGCTGCTGGGGCTTGGCAGCGCCGGTCTTGGCCTGGAACTCGGCGTACTTCTTCGGGTCAAAGACCAGGGCCTTCTCGCAGAGCTTGTAGTGCTTGACGACGGCCTGCACCTCCTTCTGGTTCAGGATGGTGAGGAACCAGCGGTTAACATTGCCGAAGGCGCTGCGTGCACTGGGCTCCAGGACGTACTCGTACAGGTGGAGCAGGCTGCTGAACACGACGATGTCGGCAAGGGTGATGCGCTCGCCCGCCAGGAAGGTGGAGTTGAGCAGCTTCTTGTTCAGTTGTTCCAGGACAGCCTCAGCCTCCTGCTTGGCAGTGCTGTTCTTTTGCTGCGGCAGAATGCCCAGCAGGGGGAACACCCAGGCGCACGACGCCGGCACGATCTCATTGTCGGCGAAGCTGATCCACTGCTGAACCTGAGCCTGGACGAAGGGGCACTTGCCGCCGCGCAGCTGCTCGTTGGCCAGCAAGTAGGCGATGGCGTTCGACTCGCTGAGGGTCTTGCCATCAGCGGTCTCGAAGGCGGGCACCTAAAAAATACCAAAGCGAAACAAAAGCGGCCGGCGTTTAGTTGATGACATGGCAAGATGGCTAGGCGGTGGCACACGCCCAAACCATTACTCACCTTGCCGCCGGGGAACTTCTTCAGGAAGTCGGCCGACTTGTTCGTCTCACCGAACTTGAAGTTGTCGGCCACTTTCACCTGGGCGCCGGAGTACTGCGCCGCGATGAGCGCCTTGTACGCGCGGAAGTTCTCGGGGTAAGTGTACAGCGTCTGGAATTAAATGGAAAGAACGTCGATTAGCATGGGGCCAAGCACATCCTGGGCGAGCGGCTGGCGAGGATTCGCAAATTATCAGGACGTGATCGCCCTGTAATTTCTAGATTTTCGCCCGAATTTTTTTATACGCACTCCTTGCACCATCGTGTTTTTGCGAGAAAGAGACAGAGACAGAAGTGGTGCAAAAACACCGAGGAACTATCGATATTATCGATGTTTGGATATTGATTTTAAAAAATCGATTTTATGCACCATCGATGTTTTAACAATTTACTTCTTTCACGTGTAGATAGCAATTTTACACATTTAAGATACATACATATCATTAATATATTTCATCCAGAGAGGAAAGCGTGAGCTAACGAATATCTCTCCCGTTAACTAATTGAATTATTAATTAAACATAAATCATAATAGTAGTAATTTTCAATATAATATATTAAAAATAAATTTATGGTTTTAAAAGTCGATAGTATCGTTGTTTAATTCGTAAAAACATCGAGACAAACAATAATGGGAAGCATCGATCTCTTGCCAGATCTAGAAAGAAAAGACAAAAGGAATTTCTAAAGCAGAGCTGTAAAGAAATCGATGTCACTATCGATAGTTTTGCGACTATCGCAATAGTTACAGAAAATAAATTAAAAACCAGCTAATATATATTCTATAAAATTGATCAACATCACTAGACGTTTCGATTTGGTGTTGCTGGCGATAGAAGAAAAAAATATATAACAAGAAAGGACGATAACTTTGTAAGCCGAAATGTGTGTACCCTTGCAGTTTACAATTGGATCATGAAAATTGATCATAACCAAACAAAGAAAACATTTTTAAAAATCTGCTTTTGTTTACTAATTTTTATAAGCTTAACAAATAAGCAAATTGAGTCAAACTTATAAAATTAAATTTTAAATGTTAACAGTATGAATTTAAATTTTAGGAAGATGTAGTAAAATATTTGTTTCTATTTGACATGGCTCGATCGAACCGGCAATTAATGCTGATATATATCCATATGATTTCTAGGGTCCGAAATTACTTTTGCAATCTTCCGACTAAAATAAAAATATTCTGTAAGTTTATAAAATAATACAGGAAAAAAATTATCACGACGCAAACAATTAATGTACTATCGATCTATCGATATCTGAAGTCCAGCGTCGATTCCAGCTCAGCTCTACTTATATCTCTGTTCCATCTCTGTTCCAACAATTAAATTGCAACAAAAGATTGCAATTAAAAATGTCAACGGGAATACAGGAGCGCCTGCAACTAAGCCGCACTCCGCTGGACACCTGGACTAAGCGCGAGCAGCTCTGTCTGGCATCGGCGGTCTCTTGCAGCGGGGACCAGAACTGGATCACCGTGAGTCGCACGCTCAAGGCGGTGTGCGGCAACGGTAACGGCAATGGGAATGGGAATGGAGGGAATGGGAACAACAACATCAACAACCGGCCGGCGGATTGGTACTCACAGAAGAACTGTGCCGTCCAGTACGGAAACCTGCTGGAGAGCGTGGAGGCCACCAAGCGCAAGAAGCGCAGCAGCGAAAGCAGCGCCGGCGTCTCGTCGCCAGCTACCGTGGAGACACCAACGGAGCTGCTGCTGCGCCGGCTAACCGAAGAGCGTCTGGCGGAGATTAAGGCACAGATGCGCAGCGACCAGGAGACCTATCGCCGCATCCAGCGCGAGATCGACGCGCTGCAGTCGGACGCGGACGTGACCGAGCAGGAGTTGCAGGACATGTGGCTGGAGATCGAGAAGGAGCAGGAGACGCGCCGCATTGAGGAAATGAAGCTGGAGAATCGCATGCGCGAGCGGGAGCAGCGGAAGAAGGAACTGGCAGGGGGAAATTGGCGAAACAGCAGTAACAGTCCGGCGCCCAGGCGCGTACTCCAGCCTACGGACACCACCGCCGTTGATATGGACGTGGAGGACATGAATAGCAGCAACAGCAGCAGTGTGAACAAACAACCGGCCGCCGGAGCACCCTCGCCCCTACTCACATCCCTGTTGAAATCTCCCACAGGTAATGCGCCTGCCGCAATACCCGGAGCAGCAGCAGCCACGGGCAGCGTGGCCAGGGCAACGGCGCCCACCATTACCTCCCTATTAACGAGTGCTGGCAACACGGTGGCGGCTGTTGTCTCCAGCCAGCCGGCTATCACCATGAAGAGCTCCACGGACGCCGCTTTTATGTCCCGTCCGATAAGTGGCCCGCCGGCAGCGATTGAGGCGCTCGCTCCTACCACACCTACACTGGAGCGCAGTCCATCGCAGTCGGCTCCGACGCTGTCCATGCTGCTGGAGAAGAACAAGGCAACGCCGGCGAAGTCAGAGGCACAAGCCGGCAGCCAGGAGCAGCCAGTGGTGGACGACACTGCTTCCCGGACAGCTGCCGGAGCGGATTCCGATGAGGCAGATCCCAACGAGCTGCTGGAAGTGTTTCCCAACATTGACGAGATAATCGATGACATCGACATTGACATGGCCAGCGTCATCGATGATGAGATCCTCAAAGATGTAGATGACGTGGTTAACTCGCCCTCGAACGAGAAGGGCGAGGTAATTGACTTTGAGGACAAACTGGATGCACTGAAGCGGGAGCAGAACAAAGCTTCGCCGGCGGCCAGTGATAAGCCCAAATCTGTGGAGGTTGTACTCGGTTCGAGTGATGACTCCAACGACAACATTCCCCTGGCTGCTGTGGCCTCGCAGGAGAGCAAGGACCGCGGTCAGTCAGGAGGTGAATCCACTAGAGGCACCGAGGAAGCGGAGTCCGAGGAGCCACTGGCCAGTGAAGTGACCGTGGAGGAGATTGGCGAGACCATCACCCTCATCAGCACCTCCAGCGAGGATACTGCGAGCCCACCTGCCTCCAAAGTGGAGGAAGAAGCTGCTGCCGAGTCCGTCACTAAGGGGGAAGAGTCCAAGGAAGAGATAGCCGAGCAGACAACCAAGTTGGCAATTCCGAGCAAAGCAGAGGAGGCTGCAGGCGAACAAAAAACCCCAGAAGACCAAGAGGAAAGTGAAGGCAAAGCTAAGAAGGAGGAAACTGAGAAACCCTCGACTGTCGAGGAGGAAAAGGTGGCAACACCCTCAACACCAGCCTCGGCGCCGGCGGCCAGCAGTTCCCTGCACGACACCGACGAGGAGGAGTCCTCGTCGCTTACAGACAGCAGCAAGCCGGATGAGCAACCCAGAGGTAGTGCCAGGGCTAAGCCACCGATCTCTAAGATAGCCCAGGATGAGACCAAAGCAGAACTGGAAATTGGCGGCACACCACAGCCACCCTCTGCGCCGGCACGTACTCCGATGCTGCGCAAGCTACCGCATCGGGATCGCTCGGAGAGTCCCATGGTGGACGATGAGACGACGACAGCCAGTGATCATTCCACAGCCAGATCAAGCACACGGCGCCGATGCTCCTCCACGCCGGTTATAGACAGCATACCCAACTCGCCAGCCTCCAGCGAGCACACAGATGACCGCCGGGAAACGCGAGCCGCCACCAAGAAGCTCTTCCTCTCCATCTACGCCACGCTGCAGGAAAGCAAGCATGCGGCGCCATTTCGTCGACCCTTCCACGAGGAGCATGCCCAGCGACATGCTGATCTGTGCCTGCGTCCAATGGATCTCACCACGATTAAGCGAAACATCGACTCGGGCTTCATTCGCAGCCTCAGTGAGCTTCACCGCGATTTTCTGCTCATGGCCCATAATGTATTGGTGGCCTACAAGCCGCACACCAATCAGCACAAGACGGCCCGTCAGTTTGTCCAGGACTGCCAGGCCATCAAGGAGTTTGCCCAGCAGGCAGAGTCACTACCGGTCGTCCCCTTAACAGCCACAACCACGAATTACCAGAACAACACTAGCCGGACGGAGCGAGAGAGGGCGAGCGGTAACAAGGCGAGGAGCGGCTCCCGAAAGAGTCAAAGGCATCATTAGGTGGTGTAAGTCAATATCCCCCAACCCGTAATCATTAACAAGATCCTCTTAAGAAGAGTTTAATCCATTTAAAAGTATTTTTTATTTTTAAATCGTTCACTAATTCGAGCTAAAAACACATCCAAACACAACTCACAAGCTCTAATTTAACAATAAACAAATCAATCGAAGAATATGAGATTCTGTAATCGTCGAGATCGGGATGAGTGACAGATGGAGCGTCGCTGGGGGCAGTAGAACTTCTTCAGGCACCTCGACAACCTCAAATCGCATTGGCAGAGACGCGCCGCACAGGAGTCAGGGCCACCGAACTCTCCATGATCCACCGCGCACAGTGGCTTGCCCCGATAGCACTTCCACACGTAGGGCACAAAGTATTCCAGATAGGAGATGCAGTTGCTCTGGCCATAGCACTTGTCGTGGAGGCGACAACACCTATCGATGCCATCGGCTGGGACGCCATGTCCCCCGAATCCACAGTAGCAGCCATAGCCCTTGTAGATCAACGGATCACAGCCCGTGGAGCACTTGATCATGGAGTACAGGCGGGTCACGTCCCTCTTCCCACGATCCTGGAGATCCTCCGTGTCTTTTTTACTCGAGCTGACATTGTTGAAGCTCCACTTCATGGAGTAACCGAAGGGATCATTCACTCGAGCTATGTACACATTCTGGGCATTGACCAGGTCCTCCACATCCGCCGGCCTGCCTGTGGTGGTGGGTGTTATGACCCTTATGTCCGTCACTCGTCCATCGAAGTGATGGTTCTTGATATCCAGGAGTATCTCGTCGCGGGGATAGGAGTTCTGCCAGCTGATCGACGGGTGAGTGTCCCTGAAAAGATTTTAATTTGCAGTGATTTTAATTTAAAACTATTTTCTTTTTCATTCTCTAAGGTGCGCTCTACTCACTTGTGGCTCTGCTCCAGCCAGGGCACAGGTGGCTGCAGCTCACCCACCCAGCCGTCCAGTCCCATTTGTTGCCAATCCGCCGGCGGTGAGGTCGCCAGACTGGTCTTCACGCTCGTTTCTGGCGGAATGGGAAGGGGAACCGGAATCGATGGCGAATCAATAGACGCGGAGGTGATATTGGGAAAGATCGGTTCCGCGAAATCGGATCGCTGCATTGTTAGCAGCTCGTAGTTGTGGGTACCACCGCCGGCGGTGGGCATTTTAAAGACAAAGGATGGATTCTTAAGACGCATGCTCGCCGCATACATTTCCGGTATTATGTGGTTCACCAGCTCCGTGTCATTGGTGACGCCGCGGAAGGCCAGCCTAATGTCTTCAATCACCGTGACATTTGCCACCACATTGGCCTGGTAATGGAGCCCCACCACCACCGACATAATAATTATCCGCAACATGTTTGCTTCGCTTTCAGGAACTGGACATTGGACAGGGGCATGGACACCACCACTACACCGATCCGCACAACCGATCCGCTCGCGCCGACTGGCTATCAAAAATTGAATTGAAGCTGGCTCTGTGGTGAAGCTTGGAGCTTTGGGGAAATGCGGTAGTTGGTAGTAGAGTTTGGTTTGTGTGTAAGTTGGTCGACGGCAGCATAAATGGCTCAAAAAATCGTGTTAATAGCAGTAGCAACAAACACAAGTCGAAAACGAACAGTAAGAGCAGCGGACACAACAAATAATAACAATGACCAGGCGGTAGACACTTTTTGGCAGATTTGGTGCAAATACACCCAGGGAAAAACTGGTTTTTCCATTTATTTTTATTATTTTATTTATATATTCTAAAACTATGGTCCGTTGAGAGGTCTAATATAGGTGTAATTCTTGTTTATAGATTTTATTTAATTTCTAAAATTACCATACCATTTTCTTTGCAGCATAAATTTCTCTCTGTGTGTGCTATAAATATAATTCGATTGAGGCGCCAAAGGGGCTAGTGGTGGGTGGCCAAGCCACCAATAAAGTGCCACAAATTCGGAGACACTCGATGGAGCGGCTGTCGGTCGTCAGTGTACCCTCATTAACGGGCAACAGGGAGTTAAGGCGAAGGTCGTAGGCCCTAGGAGCCGCCGTTGCAGTCTCGTAAGCAGTTCATGGTCAGCCTAATCGTTACACTTATTCGAGTTTTGGAGCTGCGTGACTTTGCAGTTGCTTTCCCAGCCGCGAAATTAAACAAAACTGTATACAATGTACATACAATATAAGCACTTTTAATATTATGGCCAAAACGAGTAACTAAAACCGGAGTTAACACACAGCTACGAGTTAATTTATAGTTTGCCGCCCGCCTGTTACGTCGTCTTCGGGTGGTTTTCGGTGGCTCCAGTGCCTCAGTGGCTCAGTGAGCGCGAAAGGAAAACGCCAAGTCAACAACTGCACTTTTTGGTGTTTGATTAATGTTTGCCATTGGGAGTGAGTGTGCTCTAATCGTGGAAGCCCACGCAATGCTTAATTTTCATTCATATTCATGAGTAGGCACTACTAATTATCACTTGGCTGCTATAATATTCAAATTATGTTTGCCAACGCACTTGTGACGCCTCAAAAAGTCGTTATTTAGTTACACAGACATAAATATGTACATAAACTATCAATTTTGGTGTTCCATTTTTTAAATATGTGTGATATATGTTAATCTTAAATGTTTATTTATTTATTCGTTTAATATTTACAACTTTTTTTTAGATAATTATTGAATTTACTAAATGAGTTAATCCAACTGAATTACAATAATTTTACAAAGCCAAAAAAATCGTTAACCAGAGTAACGATATGCAATTAGAATTATAATGTAACTATATATATATTCTTATTACTTATTCAAGTAATAGGTAATTTATTTGATAATGCTTGAGCTTTGTTAATCTGCGTATTTAATTTTTAAGTAATTTTCTTGATCCATTTTTTGGTTTTAAAACTATACTCACCATATACCATTTCGATAACTTTTTGTATGGTATCTTTTTCTTTTTGGTAGTGTTGCTAAGCGGCATTTGAAAGTATAACAGCTGGCTTGTTATCGATAGTCAACCGTTAAAAATATAACAGTTCAAATACTTATGGTTAAATATGCCATACAATATGAGAACATTAAATCTAAGCATAAATAATATTTAATTTTATTCAACGAATTCGGATTTTAGGTTTAACGGATTCAATTTCTGTTAAAATTCCCAAGCAGTCTTTTTAAAATTTTTTTGTTTTCCTGTTTTATTTTATAGATAAATGTTTCTACTTTTTATACACAGTTACATAGTTCTCAAATTATACATTTTTAAAGATTTTCTACAGAATTGACAAACACAATTTTTATCATATATATTTAAGTTTCTCCGAGTTAAATCTAAGGCTTCTTTCAGCCGACAAAGTTAAAGCCATGTTAATAAATACACATTTTATTTAGATTCAATAAATGTGATTAATTCTTCCCCATCTTCCCGGTATCGATGTAGCATAGCATCCTCCGCTGGCGGAAATGCCGCGCATTGGGACTTTGGCTTGGGACAAGAAACATTTTTCCAGCTGCCGCCGCTTCAGTTTACTGATGATGATGATGATGATGATGCTGATGATGACGATGCTGCTGCTGCCTGCTGTAGAGTTGTAGAGTTCAAGTTCTGCTTTGCTTTAATCGCTGCATTGTCATCATTCTCCGTCCGTTCCCTCCGATCTCCGCCTCGGTGGCTCCTGCTTCTCCATCTCCTTCGCATTGTTGCTGGTGCTGGTGCTGCTGCTGGTGATGCGGTGCTTGTTCTGAGCCAAGATGTTGCGCCATGTTGCCTGGTATTACTTGGTGGCTTGTGGGAACGAGCACACATAGCAGGAAAAGCTATTTTCAAATTGGAAAGGTTTTGCACTTCACCAACGCTACCGCCGCTGACGCTGCTGCTTTCTCGTTAGTTTGTTATTTTAACTATTATATCAATTAGTTGCGGCGTTTGACGGCTCTCGGCTGGCTTCTTGTCGTCGTTCCTGATTGCGCTGCCGCTTGCTCTGGGATTGGGAGGAAGTGAAAAACCAGTGCAGGAGGGAAAGCCAAGTCAGCGTTAGCAGCTGCCGTTGCAATCGAATGCGCTTCTTGCGGGGACGTGGACTCCGTTTCTGGCGCGTACCTACAACAAAGCAGCAGCATTCGTTTAGAAAATATGCAAACTAGGTAAGCAGCAGCAAATGTTTTGTTAGATCGCCGCACTGGTCCGTCCTCCTTTCCTCTCCTCCAGCTCCTCGTCCCCATCCTCTGGTGCGTTGGCATTTAAATGAGCGTGAAGCAAAATGCGAATGCGATCGTGTAGGAGGCGGAGTCGTAGTACCTCCGACCGGCAATAACAATGGCCCTACTCGCAGGGTTGAAAGGTGGTCGTGTTCCGGCTTCATTCCTTCAGAGCCGAGAGCTGAAATTAAAATTGGAGAGAGAGCAGAGAATTGTTGTGTTAATAGCAGCAGAAGCTGAAGCAGCAGCAGCAGCAGGTGTTACAGTTACACTCAAACGCCCACGCAACAGTCTGTTGCCGTTGGCAACAATAAGTGCACCGTGAAAAATTTAACTTACCCCATGAATTTGGATCTCTTTGTCTTAACATTACTGAAATGGTAAAAAAAGCTAATAAAAAAATAGTTTTAAAGGTTTTAAAGATCACTGAAATCTCTAGGGTTCTTAGTAACTCGGGAATCTTGATCTTTGATTTCTTTAAAGTAAATTAGATATATAAATGATGTAGTAGTATGAAGTTTAATAATCTATTGTAGCGAAATTATGAAAACAACACAGATTCTTAAGTTTTATTTTATTTTTAGGAGTAAGGAACCTAATACTCAAAATAAGAATTCATATAATTGATAAAGTAAATTATAGAAATGTAATATCTTGTTTATACACTTTGAAAGTTGTGAAAAACTGAAGCAATATAAACCTAACTCTTCATCGATCGAATTAAACAAACATAATCGCTTTATTCCGATGTGGAGTGCACGCTAGGAAAGTTCAAGTTACTGATATCCTAAATAAATCCAATTTCTGGACTTTCAGGAGTACGCAATATGTTTTATATGTACAACTCAAGGTGTAAATAAGACCTATATAGTATTCATTTTCATGTTGATTTTTTCACGGTGTCACAACAGAGCGGGTAAAGCCGTTACTTACCCGCAGGCGCCACTTTGGCAATAGCAAGAAACAACCCTCCGGTGACTTTTTCACACGCTGAGAGCTGAGAGCTGTGGAGTTTTGCCGCGGAAATCTATGGCAGTTCCATGTGTTATTCGATTTTTAATCGCGTGTCACCAGGCCATAAATTGGTGGGCCGCTTGGCTTGTCACGGGTTTCGAGTTTTCCACAAACACACATTTATTCGTGGACCGTTGCAGTCACTCCTGCATTTTGGCAGATAAACCAAAGGCTACTCTTTATCGGCACCAGCATGCGGGTGGTGGTGGGTGAAGTGAAGTGAAGGGAAGGGCAGCGGTGCAGAGGGGCGGTTTAAGCCAGGCCATTGACTCTATTTTTTTGTTTGACTTAATTTTTTGTTTATACGTGTACATGTAGTATATATCCGTGCGATTCCCTGGGATACGCCCTCATTTGGGAGTTCTAATTCTGCGGGGCGTGTGCCGCCGCTTGGGCTTTATGTGGGTCACGGGTCAATCAGGCGAATATGTTGGATTTCCCATAATTAATGCGTCTGCTAATTGGCCACTCAGACGGGTGGGCAACTCTCCCAGAGATCGGACCAGGGTTAGGGTTAAGGCAACTCTCTTTATGCTGTTCTGTTGTGCTGACCCAACTTAATAGACGAGCATGAAATCTAGTCACGAACTTAATCATGAAACACCGTGCACTAGATCCATGTTCGCCGACAAAATAGAGTCAGAAAAGAGCATCCTGCTGCCCCGATCTCCAGAAACTCCTCCTCCTCCTTCGGGACGATGATTATTGCCACAGCACGACTTTCTGTGGCATTTTCTCGTTGTTTTTGTTTGTGATTGGTGATTGGGCTTGGCTTTGCTTTGCCTCTGGAGTCCATTCTTTTAGGCCTCAAGTTTGAATTTTCCTGTTGAATTGCCGCTGTCATTCCACTCTCTCTTGTGCCTGGCAACACAATTGCGCCATCGTTTTTTGATCGGTTTTCATAGCTCAATTGGGTGGTCAGTCAGCCAGACCAATCCCAGAATGAATCAAGCTGCTCCAAGCCGCGAATTAAGGTTTATTATTTGTTACCCCCTCTAGCGCTCCTCTTTTTCCTCAGCTGCTGTTTTCTTTCTGCTGATTTCTACAATAATATACATATAGTATATCAACTGACGAAAAGCCGACATTGACGACGTCGTCGTCGTCGTCGTCTTTAAGAATTGTTTAAGAATTGCGGCGTCGCTGCAGTTTCAATTTCTGCTGATCGGGACAAAAAAAATCCGATACACATGGAGCTCAGGCTCAGCTCTCTCTCTCTGAAAACCACATGATTCGGCGGAAACTGTATTGTTTGTTTGCCAAAAGCCGGGGGTGTTGTATTTTATTTGTGAAGGAGCCATTAATCTGAACTATGCGACACAGCAGAGAGCGTTGCTTGCCTTCTCAGAAAAATTGGTATTTTCAGCAATTTGTTCCGGTAGAAACCGAAGAAGTACGAAGCAAAGCAGTTATGAAGGCGGAACTATACAAATATACATAGGAAAATTAGTAAATTCTATAACAGTTGCGGTTTTAAAAGGTTTTTTTTTTGGTGAATAATCATTAAGGTATTTATTTCGATTTTCTGGTAGGTTTTACTAAGCGAACTATATACTGGATATGTAGATTTTTAAACAATGTAAAATGTTGTTTAGCCATTTGGCTTTAAAAAGTTTTTAAACCTAAATAAATAATTTAAAAAAGTTACAAGAATTATTTTTCAATGGCAAATTTTAAAAATTAGACATTGTAAAATAAATCCATCAGACAGACGTAATTTTTGTATTGTAAATCTCAAACAAATTCAAAACCTATAAGCATTAATATTTTGTGTTACCAATCAGAAATGAAGGTAATATATTTTTAAACAAAAGTCCACGTAGCAAATATTTTTGAATAAAAACCTCTATTGCTTCAACCACAACTGTACAGCGAAAAGAAAACAACAGAAAATAAAGGGTGACTCAGCTGGCAACAGTTGTTGAACTTTTCACCTCTATTGTTGTTATAGTTGTTGGTCTAACGATT